CCGCGATTGCAATCTGCAAATAGCCGCGTGTGTGAGTGCGCACAATAAAAAGGTGCGAGCTTAAAGAATTTATGGGCCAGCCACAGCCGATAAGCTTGGCGAATAAAATAAAATAAAATAAATAAAAGACAGACAGAGAGGTAGAATGAGAGGGAGAGACATACAGCAAGGACAGAGCACCTAATTATTATAAATAAACCAATCGAACAATAAAGATCTGCTGCCGGGCCAAACTTTCCACGAAACGGTGCGCACACAGTGGCCATAAGAACTTAATCGCAAATGAGATTCCAATGGGGGCCAGGACTCGCGAGTCCCAAAACCGAGGCACAAAACGGAGGCTCAAGCCGGCAACGCCATCGATAACACAATCGATGATGAGGCGGCTCCCAGTTCTACTTAGGAGCCTGGATCCCCAATCCCCAATCCCAAATCTGCAACCGAATCCAGGCTAACAAGCGGTTTGATGGCCAGTCGGCTGGATTAATCGCTGACATGGTCGGGGGGAAATTCCGGCTGGGAGGGAGGGAGGAGTAGCAGCTCCCAAAATGTCCACGACAAACACTGGAGAAAATTTGTAGTTATTGGAGAGTTGGGATTGAAACCGTCGAGGAGAAATAGGAATCATATATAATTTTAAAATAATATTCCCTAATTCATAAAAATACTTAGACAAAAATCTAAAAAAATTAACAAATAATTCAAATATATAATTTTAATAATTTTTAACAAATAAACTTGTGCTTTGTTTATCTTTATTTTAATTTTGTTTTCTATTAACTTCTTTCCAAAATGCCACATTATTTCTGCAAGTGCAAGTCCTTGGAGCCGCCGATAAGGCGCTGACGTAGTTAAACATATTGTAATTGCTGCGATGCCACAAAACGGGTTTCCATCGCAGTCCATGGTCCACGGTCTACAGTCCACGGTCCGTGGTCCGCCGCTCCCGGTCCCGGTCATTGTTTTTGGAGTGGCTTCTGTATCGGTCGCAGCATCAGATTACCACTCTATGTGCAGACAAAGGCGCAGCATCATTCAGCCAATAAATGGAAGGCGTCGTTGTCGTCCTCTGTCCTGCGATCCCCATTCCGAAGCCCCATCCCCTGCTGTCGTCATGGCCTTTGATTTTTGTGGATCAGGAGAACACAGCACGGTAGCCGTTCGATAATTTGCTATGGCATTCCAAGTGTATGTCTCCTTATCCGCATGTCAATCAAGCTCCTAATTATTCGCCGAATGCAAAAGATAATTGGGGCCCGTCGTCGCTTTTTCGGATACTGGTATCCATTTCAATATGAAATATATTTCAGCCGATTCAAGACGATGCTAAAGGCAATTATGACAAGCCCACAAAAATCCGATGATGGGGTTCTTACTTTCCGGCCAAAAGTGGCATCCAATTAAGGCAAAGGGAATAAATAAACGAGCTGGGGATAAGCTGCAGAAGATAATCCTGCAGCTTGAGTTTGGAAAGAATATTATGCAGTTGGGGAATATATATGGTAATATAAATAAGTTTGGTTTATTTTTGGTAATGAAAGGGATGCATTAGGAAGTAATTTCATTAATTAATTAATTTAATTTATTTAAAATATTTTACATTTACCCAATTATAAATAATTAAATTTGGTTTGTTATAGTCAGTATTTATTGGCATTAGTAACAGATTAATGGCAGTGATTTCGATGAGACCAGACTTGGATAGTTGTTTAAGATGTGGTTTTCATTGGCCTTAACAAAGAACATCATTTTCCTGAGTTTTTGATACCCTTTAGTGACTTGAAATAAATTTAAGGTAAGCCATTAGTAAAGTCATAAAATGTAATATATTTATTGGAAAATTTCAATTTTAAATTTATGTTTAAGTTCAGAAAATAGTGATCATCAAATGATAATGATATAATAACAAAACTTTAAATCATTTGTGCTTTATGAGATACCAAATGTAATTTAATTCTGATTATAAATTAAATTTCAAAAGGTATCTATTAGTCGTAACTCAAATTAAAAGAAGGCTTTGATTTTACAGCCTCTTTCGGCAGCGTTAACGGCTGCTAATTCATTTGGCATCGCAGCAGGTTTCCACCTGCCTATATCTATCTAAATAGCCACTATCTGTGAGTGGTAATCACATGCTGGGAAACGCAATGCGCTGGTTCTCATGCTCGCATATTGGTCCTGGTCCTGTCTTCCTGCCATTCGCATATAACCTGAAAAAAATGTGTATTAATTTGTACAAGAAAGTATAAATTAGAAAAAAAGTTTATCGGGATTCTGGACTTGCCTGGAATGCACAAGCAATAGTAAAGTGCATGCAGTGGAGGCTGCGCTTTGTTTCTCTTTTATATAAAAAATATTTAATAAATTTATTTTTAAAATATAATTCCAAATTTATAGCAGTGTAGCCACCAAAGTGTAATGAAATCACACATGAACGTTGGAAAATGAAACTGCAATTGGAGTCGCGGAAAAAACAGGGGCCAAGTGGGGAGCTGGAAAGACATGGAGACCATCGACCATCGACCATCGACCATCGACACTTTGTACGCTGTTGTGTAAAACGATTGGCGCGTTAATCAACGTACAAATTTCCGACTTATATGGTTAGCGAATTAAATCGTTCCCCCGAGATCCAGCCACCGCTAGCAGCTACCGGCCTTCCGATCCGAATCCGCGTCCGCGTCCGAATCCCGAGCCTGGTCAGCTGTCTCAATGACAGCTCCGCCGATTAGAACTGGAGCGATAAATTATACAATTGCCATGCGTGCGAACTGCAAAGAGAGAGGATCTCGGTTCGGAGGATCTCGGATCTCGGATCTCGGTTCGGGAGCAGCGCTACCATATCGAGATCCCGGGTCTCGCCGATGACAATTACACTGATTACATTAAATATATGAGGCCCATATTGGGGGCCCACAGCGCCTCGGGGAGTGTTAACTGTTCGCCTGCCCCTCTAAAAAGAGAGGAAATAAAATAAAATACAAAATATATAGAGATTGCCTAGCGTAATTTGTGCAATTTGCTGCCCCTTCAAGTATGCAATGCGACTCGCTGGCACCAAAAGCCTCGTGAAAACTATGCAAATTAGCGGAGCTGCGGGGCTGTTGAAAGAATAATGAACTCAAGATACGCTAATTATTTTCATTAAAATATATATTAATTTATAGTTTTTTAAATCCCCAATGTGCTGTTAATATATTTTATTGTTTTCTAAATCCCAAATATGCGGAATTTAAAACAAAACCCTTTAAATACCCAACTCTGACCTATTTGCAATCCAAATCGCCTTACCCCAAATACCCTTCGTTTGGAATAAAGAAATCGACAAACCTGCATGCATTCCTCGACTTACAAACGGCTGCCTATTTTCTGTTTTTTTGTTTTGTTTTGTTATGACCCGTGTGTGCAGTTTGTTTAAAATTCTTGTGGCGCGGCATGAAAAATCAATTATGTTAGTTGAACTCCCCGAGCTAAACGCTAAACAATTGCGCATAATTACGAGCGTTGCGTTTTGGGGCAAACGCGAAACCTAAATGCGGACTGCATTGCCTCAATTTGAGGCATTTGCATAAGAGAAGGGGTCGCAAACAAGAAAGAACAACAATTAAGGTTCCAAATGGCAAAAGTTAATGACCGAACAATTGAGGAAATTCACGTAAATGACTTTCCGTGGGGGTACGGATTAGAAGGAATTCAGGAAATGTTTACTTTGGAATCGTTTATACTGCAGACATTTCACTCGAAATATAGGAAACGGAAGTGATTTTTGAAAGAAAGTCAATGGCAAAACGCATTAAATAAATGTACAGCAATGGGAGTACAAATTTATTTTAATAAACAAATACGTATTTTTAAATACAACCTAAAATAAACACTGTAAATAAAAATGGCTATACAAATATTATTATTTTCTTTTTTGAAATATACAAATAAACAACCTGAGAAGGCCAAGCTCTAACCATTGTATGTTTCAATTTGTAGTAAATTTTGTTTACTCAATTTTTAAGCATTTCCGCCCGACTTGCATGAAATTTAATATCCGCTAACAGTTCTCCCATTTTGAATTCCGCAAAGAAAGCGCCAAAAGTCACCCGCTTATCGATAGATTTGTAAACTAGTTCCGGTTCCGGTCAAATAGAGGCGATAGCGATAGCCGACGCCGGCTTCCGGGTCAGCACCTAAGATCATTCAAGGATAAGGATTAAAGTAGAGTGCAGTTTGGACTACTATAACACCAGCCTCCCCCTTTCCCATATATACGGCAACAACTTCGCCAAGAGAACCGCTACTTCCTGGCGCAGACATTAGGCGATGTAGGATGTCTCTGGAGGACACCATCCATCTCCAAACAGAGATTACCTCTGCAGAGGACATCGATGACACAGTCTTGATACTGGAGGAGAATGTTAAGGCTGCAGCAGAGCTGGCAGAACCTCCCACCGTCGTCAGCTCCAAGTTGCGCCGCCCTACACTACCACCGGAAATCAAGGAGCTCATCGATACCAAGCATAGGCTCAGGAGACGGTATTCAAGGACTCATGAGTCCGAAGTTCTCAGGACCTACCGTAGATTGGCCCACCGAGTTAGGAAACTCCTGAAGCGCCTAGACCAGGGACTCTATGAAAACGAACTGGAAGAGGCAACACCGGAGTGGGACACCGCCGAACTGGAAACTTACTGGCAAGAATAAGAGGCAGGCAACCCCAAAGTTCCCATTAAAATCGAAAATCTGAAATAAAATAAAATCTGAAATAAAATATAATAAAACAATATTGAAAAACAGCCAAGCTATACATTTTGTTCTAAAAATGTATCGAACGGTCTACATTTTCTTTTACTAAAAAAGAAAGATTGCCCGAATGAGTTTTAAAATAGCAAAGTTTCAAATATTTTGAATTTGTAACGGTAAAAACAACCATTTCATATTTTATTTGTGCAGCCCTGCTGTTCAGTGTGGCCAGACCTTCATTTCTATGCGGCGCCTCATATCGATATTAGTGTTGTGGTATTTTATAGGTTTTTGTAATTTAGTTCGCTTTGGCAGGAAAAAACAAAAAACAAAATTGTGAAAAGTGTAAAGTTCGGGCCAAAAATCGTAGGAAAAAGTGGAGCGCAACAAGCAAGGGCACGGAAAAGCGCTCAATAGAAGGAAGACGAAACATACCACCTGCCGACGAACCTACCTTTTACCTTTTACCTCCCTACCTCCTTACCTTTTCAATCTGATATATTTTCACACGAACACAAGCACGCACACCGACACGGACACGCACGCACACCTGCGCAAGTACACTGTCATCATTGGACTTGTTGTGTTGTGCTTTTCTTGGTTTGTTATTTGCGAAATCGAAAGACGCGAAGGCCACACAACAAATGCGTGCGGCGGCGGCGAGAAGGTATAGAGACTGAAAGATTGGAAGTCGCTGAAATCGCAGTGGAACTGCAAGTGGAAATTGCCGAGTCACGCGGGATCAGCAGTCGGTTACAATGTCCATGCGAACGAAGGTTCTGGGCCTGGTGGACGTCATCATGCGCGTGCCGCCCGTGATGGTCATCGATGAGATCCTGAAGATCGGCATGGGTCTGCCCACGCGGCTCTATCCGGACAAGTCGTCGTCGCCGTCCTCGTCGTCGTCCGCCGAATCCCTGCCCCAGACAGATGCCTCCTCTACGGACGCCAGCCAAGATCCCTTTGCCAGCGTCAAGGCCTTCTTCGGCCTGAACGGCGCTGATGGTATAGCGGCCGCCACCACCTCGGCAGCCGTTGCCGCCCAGGAGGCCCTGGAGCGGAGCATCGAGAATGCCTCGAGATCGGCGCAATCGGACGGCATTCTGAGCTCCGGCTTCAATACGCTGATGAACGAGCTAGCGCAGGACGAGTCGCTATCGGATCTAATCAGCATCACCACCGTCAAGTTTGTCATCTGCCTGTTTGGTAAGTAATCCATTGATGTGTTTCGGGGGACATTAAAGGTGAATTCCCTGAATGAACACGTCACTCGATTGGAGCCTCGGTCAAGGTGCGATTTAGTGGCCTGTCTTACTGTGGGTTCGGAAAGTAAATTCCTATAACTTATATTTTGTTAAGGATTACAAAACAGTTTGGTTATTAAAATCCAACAGTTTTCCAATTAAAAATCAAGGAAAATAATTTAATTTATTTTTTAAAATATAAACAGGTTAAAAGTTTATATTTCGTTTAGAATAATGCCAAGGCAAGTGCATTTAAATTTATTTAGAATTATTTAAGAACCCACATTAAATTTAAATAGATTTTTCAAGGCTTAGTATTTTGTAGCATACTTTTGGACCGCATTTAAAGGGAATTTTAATCCTCAACCTTTTAATTTTATATTTACTTATAAAATATAGTTCCTTTACTATTTTTGTCTATTTTAGGTATACCTATAATTAAATTCTTTTCTTCACGTGTCTTATAGAGGAAATCGATAATACTTCTTGATTATGAAAACCTGTTAGATTGGTTAACTATGTATATAAACCTACACTACCTAATATATACTCCTAGAACCTCTGACGTATGAAAAGAAACCATCGAAAGAAACTGTTTGGGATACTTTCACATGGTTTGTTTTCTCGCCTAATCACTATGACTGCTATAGAAAATAAGTAAAGACTGAAAAAAAGATAGCAGAAAATAGTTCAGAATCATGGTTAAATTTTAAAATAATATACAGAGTTCTGTTATCTTTGAAAAGTAGATTAAATTAATGACAATTGAGTTTAGATAGGTCAGGTAATGGCCAAAGATAGCAAAGTAAACAAGAATTCGTGGAATAATAAGGCATTATAAATTAGCTTTTTCCATGGGGAATTAGAATTTAGCGACCGGGAAATGAATTCTTTTAATAAATATTACTTAAAATATTTATGAAATATCAATATTATTTAATTATATTAATAATTAATATAAGAAAACTCAAATCCACTGCGAAATACAGAATTTGCCTTCTTTTCCAGTAATTTCTCAGCAAAATAATTTGAAATTCTTAAAGAAATGTTGATATTTCTGTTATTTTTCAATGTTTTTCTTCTAGTTATAATACAACTTTTAGCAAAATGAAATAACATTCAAGTTTTCCTTGCCATGAGGCGAAATCCAAGCCATTCCAATTTATTTAAAAGTTCATTGCTTTCGACCTGCGCTGACGAAACCGCTGAATTCCAAGGGCCGCTTATCGCTGGCGTACTTTGATCGCCCATTAAAAAAAAGAAAAACTTAAACCAAACCAATGCTTAGCACTTGACTCATTCAATTACCTTGGCATCTTGCAGGTTTCCTCTCAGCCGCCTGCATCTTTATGCTCTGGACCCGTCACCTGGTGATGGTCTACATGTTCCTCACCTCGCTCGGCCTCACCTTCCTCTCCTACTGGTCCAACGTGAGTGCTTTGGCTTTGATGGAGCGCAGTCCCTGCATACTGGAGGACCTGATGTCGCTAAACACCACGAGATTACTGGACTCAGGCGGTGTAGTCATGTCGTTGGCCCCGCATCTAATGGCCCAATGGTTCATGGGCATGCTCTTTGCGTATATCCATTTGGGTCCGAGATTCGAGATGCTCCAAAAGTCAATGCCCATCATCTTTGCTAGTCCCATACTGGTGGCCATGCTGCCGCTTCCCCCCAAGATGGTGCAACAACTGCCCGTGGTGGCTGGATTTACGCCCATTATCCTGACAATGATAACGCTGATGCACAGTGCCATGGAGGCTAGTCGAACGGTGTACAATGGTTATCAATATGCCATGAATTTCGTGTCCAATTTTGGTCTGTCAGCTTTGATTGAGAACGAATGGCAGCGATTGAATGTGCCCAATGTATTGAGGGTTTTCTGGACCATTAGGTGAGTGAGCATTACAATTAGAAACCTCTTTAAAAATTAAATATAAATTAAATATTTAAACAGAATCATTCAAGGCGGCTATGCCTTGGCCATGGCGGAAACCGAGGAACCCTTTGAACTGATGCCAGCCACCGAGAAGCTCCTAGTCGATGGCTGTGAAACACTAACCGCCGTACTGGGCATGACCGGTGTCATCTCTATGATCTGCCATTACATTGGTCGGGGCTTCCAGTGGTATCTGCTTACCTATGACAACGATGAGGAGAAGTCCCTGGGCACTGTATCGGCGGTGCTCTTCTACATTTTGGCCCTGCAAACGGGCCTGACCTCTCTGGCGCCGGACAAGCGCTTTGTGAGATTGTGCCGGAATCTGTGCCTGCTTATGACCGCCTTGCTGCACTTTCTACACAACATCGTCTCGCCCATTCTGATGTCGCTGAGTGCGGCGCGGAATCCCTCAAGGAAGCGTCATGTTCGTGCTTTAACCGTCTGCGCTTTTCTGGTGGTGATGCCCGTATCCCTGCTCTACTACCTCTGGTCACAGCGATCCATATCCACCTGGTTGCTGGCAGTTACCGCCTTTTCCGTGGAGGTTATCGTTAAGGTAAGACGGATTTCATAAATAATACAATTCAGCAACATTTACATTTAGCGATTTCTAAAACTGTGAGTGAATTTCGATACATTTAACAATTTCATTGGCGATAAATCAATATTTTGTTTGATATATTGGAGCAATATCATCGAAAAATGGAAATTAATTAAACTATATTATTTTCTGAGAATTTTTGCAAAGATGGAATATTTTTCGATAATTAAAATTTCGATATGTTGATGTTTATATATTATTTAAACTATATATTTTTTTTAGATTTAGAATATGTTCCACTAATTACAATCTCGATATATAAATTATATAGTTTTCTAAGATTTTTCGATTTTAAAATATTTTCCGATAATTAAAATCTCGATTTTCGATATTATTATTATTTTTTTAATTATTCTTTTGTAAACTTTCGAAAATAATAAATAAATTACCTCCCTCCAGGTGCTCGTTTCACTGGCCACCTACACGCTCTTCCTCCTGGACGCCCGTCGCCAGTTCTTCTGGGAGAAGTTGGACGACTACCTGTACTACGTTCGGGCCTTTGGCAATTCGGTGGAGTTTTGCTTTGGCATCCTGCTCTTTATAAACGGTGCTTGGATCCTGATCTTCGAGTCGGGTAAGTGGCTTGACCTCCTCATCCTTTTGTCATGAAACTCATTGAGTGGGAGAGTGGGATTCATCGCTTTCCTGGGGCCCATCCGTCTGTTGTTTGTTCCGCGTCCGTCCATCTGTGTGTGCATGTACAATTTTTTTTTGTTTATTTGGTTGATTTTTTTTTCCGTGTATCGATAATTATAACTTGATAGCCCAAAATGCTACAGGCGGCGCCATCAGAGCGATCATGATGTGCATCCATGCCTACTTCAACATTTGGTGCGAGGCCCGGGCCGGGTGGTCCGTGTTTATGAAGCGTCGATCGGCGGTCCACAAGATCTCCGCACTGCCAGAGGCAACGTCAGCCCAGCTGCAGGCCTTTGACGATGTCTGTGCTATTTGCTACCAGGTGAGATTCTGCGATCCGGCGGCCACAAAAAACAGGCTTTATATTTTTGAAATATTGCAGGAGATGTACTCGGCCAAGATAACGCGGTGTCGGCACTTCTTCCATGGCGTTTGCCTGCGCAAATGGTTGTATGTCCAGGATCGTTGTCCTCTGTGCCACGAGATAATGATGTACACGGACAATAATGCCCAGGAGACGGAACCAGTGGCGGCGGCTCAGGCAGAACAGCCGCTCAGGCTCTATCCCAGAGATGTGAGTATTTTTAAAGATTTCCTTGTGGGAAATCCGTTTAAATACAATTTTTCTGGCAGGATGGCAACAATGCCGGCGGAGTGGCTCCGCGACGCTCGCCGGAACGTACTATTCCCGATGTGCCGGAGACGGCCGCCGCTTCTACAAACGCAACAGCAGCTGCCGCGGCCGTGATTGGAGCCGAGGCTGCCGCAAACATTGTCGAGTCGGCAGCTGCTGTGGCAGCAAGCAGTGCCAGTGTCAGCGTCAGCGCCAGCGGTAGCAGTGCCAGCAGCAGCTACATGAGCTCCACATCCGCCCAGCCGCCACCGCCAACGGCCACATCGGCGGCAGCGGTGGCCACGGCGGCGGCCAGCAATACAACGCACATGTTCCGGATGTCACAGGATCAGCAATAGGCGTACCTTCTTGAACTTCTAATATAAATATTATGTAAAAATGCAAAGGCTTCTTCTCTCTTTTCCTAACACACTCCACACACACGCACACCCCACACACCCACACCCTTCGATCCTCATAGACAGACGCAGCCATGCTTAAATTAAATTAAATTAAATTATAAACGCGCCCCTGCACGAGTTGAAGAGACGATAATTGAACCAGAGATCTATGTAGGTTAAGTTTATGGTAAAAAGTTGATCCAAAAATGTTGAAAAACACAAACAAAAAAAACAGAAACTTAGTTCTAAAACAGTGTAAAAAACGAACCCAGCAGCAAGAGAAAAAAAAAACATTTTGTGGTAAAGTCTGAAAATGATTTAATCAAGTTACCAAGTAAAAAAACAAAAAACTAGTTAAAAACATAAATAAAACGAAATCAATCGAGATGAAAAATGTGTATAATTTTGTAAATGTAAAAAGAAAGAAATTGTTTTGTTTTTTTAATTTAAATTACACCTATGTACGTTTATTTAGATTTAAAATAATTAAACGAAAAAGAAGCGGAAAATACAGAAAACAACAAACAGAGAATAGTTAAGGCATAAAAAAAAACAAAAAAAGAATTGTATTGATTTTTTAAAGGATTTTCTTTGGGTCTAGATAACAAATATAATAGCAACAGTGAGTTTTGGGTTTATAAAACAAAATCTATTTCATTTTATAAACATTTAATCATATAGTTTATTTTTTTATAATTTTTTAAATAATTATTTTTGATTTCGAATGTTTTAAAAACACCTTATAAACCCAAAACGCACTGTATGTAGAGTAACCACTCTTCAGGGTGAACAAAATATCATTTTTATAGATAAACATTGATATATCGGCCTCAAAGGCCTTTTCCAAAAAGATCTCAGTTGAAAATCAAATCGTTGTAGTTGCGCAGCAGGTGATAGGGCGACACCCGGCAACAGGTGGTGGTACGGACCACAGTGATGCGATCAGCACGTTCGAAATTGGCCTTCACTGTCTCATAGTAACGTCCATCGCTAAGAATGCCAGAAATGTTAGTCCTAAAAAACTCAAAGGATTTTAAACCCTCACCTGAGGACCATGCATCTTAGCTTGAGGCACTTGACGCGCAATATATCGATGGCCTTCTGGCTTTTGTCGGAGAAACGCAAGTTATCCGGATCCCAGCGCAACTCCAGACGCTCCAGATTTCCACAATTGGAGGCAATGGTGTCCATCAACTGATCCACATGGATGTTAACGCCCAGTTTCTCAGCCGTGCCCATGACAATGATCCTTAAAGGGTCACAAGTGTGGTTATACAAATTCAAAAAAATAAAAAAAATAATATAATTTCATACTTGCAATTGCCCAGCAGCGGCAGAATGCTCATCCACAGCTGGTCCGTGATATGGGGCATTCCCGAGAGACAGCAGGCGCTGAGCTGGTGTCCCTGACGCTGCACGAACTTGAGCAGGCCCTCATCCGTGATGTTGTCCGAGGAGTCCAGGTCCAGGGAAATCAGAGATCTAAAAGGAAATATATTTAATGACAGGATAGGTCACTAACTCCCAAGATCCCTCACCTCGTAGTGCCCGACTCCATCCACTGCTTCAGCACGCTATCGTTAAAACCATTGATCTGACCGGCGGACAAAAACTTGAGGGTAGGAATCCTGGTTAGCATATCCACCAGACACTCGGTGGACAGATCCGTGGCCGTGATATCTAGCTCCTGTAGAGCGCACTTGTCCCACTCCGCCTGCATCACAAACTCGGACTTCAAACTGGTTCCGTTCATCAGCAGGCAGGTCAGACGCTTCGATCTTTGGATGAGGGTCTTCAGAGTGGATCCGGTGACCTTGTTGCAAAAGTTCACAGCCAGGCACTCCAGCTGGATGCAGTTGGAGCTGAAGGCGTCAATGTGCGAGTCGTCGATGAAGTTGATTCCATAAAGATTAATCACCCGCAGATTGGGCGTGGCCGACTTCAGTTTGTGGACGTTGATTACCTGATGAAAGTATTATAAATTTATTATTTATTAATATATTATGAATTACTAACTCACCTCGTAGATCTCCTCTTCCTCCTCCTCGCACTTCTCGTATGTTCCTATGAGATGCAATACCTCCAAGCCGTTGATAAAGTTGTAGATCTTTCGCATGAAGCCCTCCATGAAGATCACCTCCGACAGGCAAATGCACATGTATCGGAGTTTTGTGGGAAAAGCCTGCATCTCGCTGAAGTCGTGCAGTTGCATAGCTAAAAAATAGGGGAATAATTATAATATAATTTCTATCTTTATAATAAAATCAAAGTTAACTTACCCGTGGAGAAATCCAGCAGCATGTGCGTGAGATTGGGACACTTGGCCGACAGTTCGTGGAGCACCGTGTGCGTGATGAGCTCGATGGGCAGCTCAATGTACCGCAGCGTAGGACCGAATCTCACGGATATCAGCTGGAGCAGCATCTCCAAGGAGCCCACATGCAGGCCAGAGACCTCCGGGCGCAGAGATACATTCTTCCAGAGACGTGTATCATAGGCAATCGATCGCCAGCGGCGACAAATCCGGGCCAGGCGGCAGATCTCGCGATGTGACAGATACGAGAAGATGTGTAGTAGGACCTTGTCGGGCAGCTTCTCGATGGTCTGCGGTCAAGAAAAATATATAAATTTGGGTAAACGAAGAAACTGAATAAGATAATGCATTTAAAATATAAATTTAAACCAATTTATAGACCTATAGTTTCATTTTAATTAATTTTCACTCTCTTAATCTCCTTCTCTCAGCGATCTCCGTCTATATGTTATCTCTAATTATTTTGTAGATATTTCTCTTTCACCAGGTCCATTCTCTCCCAGACAAAGAGCAAGAAATAAGTAAATTATATGGATCTTTAAAGCTCATTAGAATCAGTACCGTATCGGCAAAAGGGCTGCGAACTGTGCCATCCGACAGGTAAACCTGCGAGGCCTCGACAGCCAGCTGACCCCAGATATCCGTGGAAATATCCATCCCTCAGTCCAGCTATTGCACTTGTATATAGATTGGATTCGAAAGCACTTAGCTTATATAAAAAAATATATATAGGTAAAAAACAGAGGAACACCACGCGTTTTACGGCCTGCCAGCTGAATGTCCGTCGGACTGAGCTACTTTCGCGCTACTGCGAGTGGGAGATCCCACCGAGATCGCATCGGATTCTCCAAAAGACCTACCCACCGCCAGGCAATCGACTCAAGAGAATATCAGGGGGTCCTATTAATAGACGAGTGCTAGTAACGTTGGCAGCAGAGAGTCGAGAGACCTGTCTCGGAACCATCATCAGCTGTTCGCAGGCCCGCACTACTTACGCACTCTCCCAGAACAGCCCAACCACTGAATGCATTCCAACAAGAAGAATGTAATATTTTGTACTAAATACAGTGAGGAAAACTCTATTTACCAGATTAAAATCAAAGTTTTGGTTAAGGCAAATCAAGCTTCAGCTCTTAAAGGTTCTGTAAAAAGTCTTTAGATATTTGAAATCACCAGAATGTGTGGCAAAAAGTATGCTAGACAGAAATCTATAACAACATGTGTCTAAGAGTATGCAATGAAATATTTAAAAAGCCAAGCTTGTGATCTCTTACCGCGATTCCAAGGATTTCAAATCTACAGCGGTTTATTTCCAAATTTAACTTTTAAATATATCTTTTTATTTCTGATTTATTTAATTATTTAAATTTATTTGAGTGTACTTTTTGGTATATGTATTTAATAGCATTTTATTTGTTTGCCAAGTTTTCTATATATACGCCACCGATCGGCCGGGTTTGTTTTGTTTACTATATAGTAATTGGAATGCTACTCACCAGTCGCGTTTTTCCCGCCGCATTGAGATCGTCACGTCCTCCGATCGCCTGCGTTTGTGCTGCCAAAACATTCCAATTATCCATGGCAGGATACGCCTTGGGTCAGCCGGGCAAGTGTCTGTGTTATGGTGTATTCTTGTGGCTCTGGATCCAGGTGAGTCTATCTATCGGTGCTAACTCTATGGGAAATATACAGGCGGGCGCCGGTTTGTGTTTTGTGTTGGCGTCTATAAGTAGCACAAGCAATTCATTCATGAAATCTACTATTCGATGAGGTTTCTCCGTCTAGATACGGTGGGTGCTAAGTAGAAGCAGACTTTGTTTATTCAATCAATCTAGTCTGCTGGATTTACTAACTGCTTAAAAAGAACACTATTCTGTGGTTAGTGTTATTTTGATTATTTCTTCATGCTTTGCTTAAAAAATAAAAAATGTCAAGCAATAAAGTAAATTATTTTTTTTAGATAAACATTAATCTAAAATTGTCCTAAGCAGTTCCCTGGATTCAATAGCTGCTTGAGAAGTAATTTGCACTGTCCTAAGCAGTGCCTTAAATGTTTCACTGCTTTCTAAGCAATTTTTCTGCTGTCAGGACAATCTTTGCTTTTAATAATTTTAAATATATAACTATTAAAATATTGAATATTATAAAAATTCCATAAAATAATTGTGAATATGAATATACTAACACAAAAGTGCAGATCAAGCAAGTTAGCATGGAAATACAGTTACCTAAGCAGTTCTAGGAAAAAGGTTTCATGGATTTAACAACTGCTTGTAAAGGACAAAAGCGTATGCTTTTTTAAGGGGGGGGTAAGGTATTTAATTTTTTTTTCCGTAAATTTTTTTTTATTTTTTATTTTAAAAGTTCAATATCATAAGAATATTGTGTCCAAGTTTTACATCAATCATAGTAAAATTGACGAAGTTATGCGGAGCTGAACGAAGGTCGGTTGGTGTTCAATGCATGAGAATCACAAAGTTTAAAGCGCTCTCCTGAAAAATGCCATTTTGAAAATCGGTGTACACGATAACTAAAAATATACTGAACCAATCGGTTTGAAATTTGGAACATAACTTCTTTAGATAATTCTACAGGTATTCTCGTCGAGCTTTTTTTAATTTTTAATTTTCTTATATTTTTTATTTAACAAATTAACTTAATTTTTTAGTCAAAAATCGGGGTTTTGACTTCAAATTTTGATAAAAAATAGGGAAAAAATTTTAAAAATAAAAACGCTTCGAGAATACCTCGGGACACTTATCCTTTAACGAATGAGGTATAATTTTTGTAGATCGGATGATTCTGTGGACAGTTAGGATGTACACCGCAAACCAACTTTTTTTGGAGGCAACTCGGGAGATTCCCTATAACTCCTCTACCTCTAAATATTTTTCAATACAAAATTTATCACAAACTGTTCAAATGTTGTGTTATTATATGGTATTTAATTCGTTAAGCTAGCTTTAGCCGTTTCGCCACAACATTTTTTTGAAAAGTGGGCATTTTTGCACCGAATTAACCTTACCCCCCCCCCCTTTAAGAAACGTTTTCAGGATAAATTTAAACATGAACTTATAAATAAATAAATAAAATTTTTAATATACTTTTTTCACCATATGTCTATTCCTGAATACTCTCTTAATTAGAAGATTTCTTATTTAAAATATATTATTTTCTTCCTACCCAAATAAATTTAAAAAAATGCATGCAAAAAGCCAAAATAAAAGCCATATGTTTTTTTATGTTTAAGCAGCACAGCACACATAATTACCCATTATTTTGATTAATCAAATCAAATTGTTAGACACTCTACAAGTACAAATTGATGCAAGAACAAAAGCCATTAATTAATTACTTGTTGCCTTGACGCAACCTGCAGTCAGTTCGTTGAAATAAAGCAAATTTCGGCACTGGCAAATTATGCAAAATTTATTTTATGAACACTGTTTTCTTTTTTCATCTTTTAATTTGCGAGTACACATCAAAAATTTGTTTTACCCTTTGCCTGGGTTATTTATAGGTCTTTCGCCTGGTTCTGGTCGCCAATTTGTGCGGCTGCAACGCCCCGAAAATCGCCGAAAAAATAATGCAATTTCGTAACTTTCGCCACGACTCTGCTGCGGAAATACTTGGCAAATTGCAATGATTTCATTCACTTCTTCGCTGGCAAATTACTTGCTAATTGGCTGCAGTATCCGGCGGATATTGGTCGATTCTACGGCATTTACATGGGCGATCGGTTCCGTGTTCCGCGCACTTGACGGCTCCACAACTCTCTGGCGACTGAGGAAACTCAGGCGTCCGCGAAAAATGGTCAGCAGAATGCCAAAATCCGTTCGGCTAGTTGGTCGGATTGCTCCGATGGACATGGAGGGGTTATTCGGGGACGATCCCAAAGCGAAGAGCAGCGCAGACAGGCAGATGTAACCTGCATACGTTGTTCTGATGGCGACCGGCCAACAAGAGGGGCAAATTATGGGGCGTGGCACTCGAGGTATTCATTTTCATATCGGTTCAAACAAAAAAAGTAGCATTTGCGTTATGAGTTCACAAGGAATTTATTAATTTTATATTATTTGATAGCAGAGCTGCTAAGCGCAGCTCCGGTTTGGTAAAGAAGGAAGCACATACTTATATTGCTTTTATTAACTTAATATACAATTAACAACAACAAATCTAATTGACAAACTTATAAAAACATAACAGAATCCAAAGAGAACCCTTCATCCAGTCCACTGCTATTTTCTCCGTTCTAGAATACTACATTTATAAAAAACATTATTATTAAAACAGATCTGAAAAAACGGTTGAATACTCACCTTTCCTTAAGAAGATTAAGAGTGCTGCGCTTCAGGACAAACATAATGAAAATAATAATGCCGATGCAAGAATCACAGTATTTACATATAGTTAGAAGATAGTTCCAATCAGCAAAGATTGAAGTCATGCGAAAGCTCCACTGAATATCCATAACGATGAAGAGACTTGCAAACATTCTAAACCTGCGATCGGATTGTGGGAAACTCAATTCACATGATGTTAATGTTAAGTTAGATCTTACGATTGCATTCTCGAGTTCAGGTTCCTTGCCCTCTCGTCCTGGTCGAACAAGTGCCTCAGTGAGAGTTTTACTCGTATAATTGTGATAATGGTCAACATAATAAGGATTGTATTTAATGCTACTAGTATTACCAACGGCGTTTCAATAATGTAGTTAAAATAATTACCGGCCCCTGAAAATAAGAAAAATTATATTCTTGGATTCCTTGTGCAAGAGATAATAATACTATCAAAAACCTACCCATATATACACAGTTTTCCCAACCAATACCGGACACCCAATCCAACTTGTTGGGATCGCTATCCCAAATCTGATTAATCAGGAAAATAACTCCCGTCAGGATAGCAGTCGATCCCCAGGCAAAGGTGCTGTAGGCCCCGAAGCTATATTCAGACTCAACTCGATTGACCGATGTAAAGCCTCTCCACAACTGATGGCTCAAAGCCAAGAGCCAACTTAATTTGGCGATGAAGAAATAAATCGTGACGTAACCTGCAATTTGAGGACAAAACAATAAATTTACAATCAATTTATTAAAATTATAAAACAACATGTATACCTTGTAAAACGCACAACTGCAAATGAATTGGAACGGCTTCCAGCAAATAAAAGACAAAATACATAAACGAAGCTATCATGTAACAGATGAAGCACTTTCCGTGCAGATTCCGGAGCTTCTTTAAGTGAAGATACAGTACGATTGTGAGACCCAACGAAACTTCTGAAAGGCACAAGACTGCATATTTGAAAGATTAGAGGACTGCAAGTTCTTCAAGTGGCTACATAGTAACTCCTCTTACGCTCTTTCATTCCTGGATTCAGTGATAGGTACCTCTCATTATACCATTCCATATGGAAGGCAGCAACAAAGGACTCTGTGTTGCCTGAAGTAAACTGATTTGGATGGAGACAGTCATATCCCCTGAAGAAAAGTATGTCCGTACTATTCAACAGTACAGACCCGTTCTAAGGATATCAAATTAGTTATAGAAACATGGAACAAAAAGAAGAACTAACCTCGAATATTGTGTACTTCTCTTTTACCCAAATATCACTAAGCCGAAGTCGATCTCTCAACACGATAAAATCCTTTAGCAAGTTCGTTTCTGCCACTGACCCATTGATGAGTGTCACATTAAGGAAGGGATCGATCCCAGCCAACTCCTCCATCATACCATCTGTGCATTTACTATTGGGTTCATCCCAATCTTTAAAGCGACAACAGATCCATATGCAAGGTTTCAGTTGGCAAATACATCCTCGTAGATGGTTTCTTACTCCTTCTCTTATTCCCTCCTCCGTTGTTATGTAATCATATTGACCAGTCAAATATTCAGGAATCTCGATGTCTTGGTACATATAGGAGCCATTTTGTAGCCTCAGACTTGACGTTATATTCACAGTTTCTAGGAAATGACATCCGGGAATATCCGCTTTTGCTGTTTGTAGGAAAATAAGCTCCAGGAAGGCCCCGAAAATAATGGAATATAGCTTCATTGTGTCATGAAACATAATCAACGAACAAAAATTCTCGACTAATTCACAAGCAGCTTGGCGAACGATTTTATATAGCATTCTGGAAAGCAACTATTTTGAAAATACATAAAACAAGAAAGGAAGCTAACTTCGGCACGCCGAAGTTTGTATACCTTTGCAGACTGGTTTCGATGTTTATATTATAGATTTAAATGCTGAAAACACTCACAAAACTGTGTTTCATTACATTTTACCTATACTTATTATATTTACAGTTTGACAGTTACAGTTTTACATTCCCAGTTTTACATATTTTTTACATTTACCGATCGCTTCTATGGCAGCTATATGATATAGTTGTCCGATTTTCATAAAATTTTTACCAAAATTCTGAAATAATAAAAGAATCTCATATCTAAAAGAAGATAAGAATATGTTGAAAAACAACGAAGTTATAATTTTTTTCCTATTCATTTTCCGATCGTTCCTATGGCAGCTATAAGATAAAGTCGTCCGATTTTTATGAAATTTATACCAAAATTCTAAAATAATAAAAAAAGTTTATATCTCAGAGTAGATAAAAATACGTTGAAAAACAATGAAGTTATAATTTTTTTTCTATTTATGTTCCGATCGTTCCTATGGTAGCTATAAGATATAGTCGTATAATTTTCATGAAATTTTAAAAATATCGAAAAACAGCCAGCAGCTATATGATATAGTCGTCCGATCCGGCCCGTTCCGACATATATAGCAGTGAGAGTATATAAAGTTTCATTCAGATAGCTTTAAAACTAAGGGACTAGTTTGCGTAGAAACAGACAGACGGACAGACGGACAGACAGACAGACGGAGATGGCTAGATCTACTCGGCTGTTGATGCTGATCAAGAATATATATACTTTATAGGGTCGGAAAGGTCTCCTTTACTGCGTTGCAAACTTCTGACTGAAATTATAATACCCTGCAAGGGTATAAAATCTAATGATTTGCCTTTGGGAATTTAATTTTAATAAATTTATTGTTGCTATATATTTGCCGTAAAGATTCTTATAGAGATTCGCTATTATTTTTGTGGGGCCTTATCAGAGAGGGGAATACTTAAACATTGGGTGTGCCACATGTTTACTTCATTGCCTGAATATTAATTTTTGGCACAATGTATGGATTACATTTTTCGTATATATTATATATATTATATTTTAATAATATTGTGAAAAATTTGATATAAATCTAATTATTATTTCATAAGAATAAATGTTAGTTTTTGGTTAAATTCAATTCAAAGTTTCAAAGCTTTCTTTCATGTTCTTAATTAACTTTTATTAAGTGATTCGATGTCATATATTTGATTTTCTTTAAGCGGAATTTCCTCTCTCTTTAGGTTATTTTCCCTTAAGTACCTGAGGCATTCATCTTCACCTCCCATCTTAATAAGCTTTTTCCCACAAAAACACATCTTAACATAAATCTTTATCTGCCATTTATTTTCAAGAACACAATCCAATCATATCGCCGCTGCGATTTGTCTTCCGGCTTTGGTTTTTATTTAACGCTTATAAATGATTTTCATTCGCAGTGCAATTTAGATGAAATGGCTTTCCTTACACGCACAAAAAATGTATATAAATGTATTAAGCGAAGGCGTATCAGTGCTCGTGCGAGTGGTTAGCTGAAAAGTGCATCGGAGAGCTATTAAAACTGAAAATATATAGGGGAATCTCGATGTCTTGGTACATATATGAGCCGTTTTGTAGCCTCAGGCTAGATATTATATTCACAGTTTCTAAAAAGTGGCATCCAGGAATATCCGCTTTTGCTGTTTGCAGGATAATAAGCTCCATGAATGCCCCCAAAATAATGGAATATATCTTCACTTTTTCTTGAAACATAGTCAACGAACAAAACTTCTCGACTAAATAACAATCAGCTTGGTGATTTGGTTTATATAGGTTTCTATAAAGCAACAACTCAAACCAAAAACATTAAAATTTTAAAAGACGTAAAGTTCGCAATCTTTTGCCATAGCTTTTCTAAGAAAAGTTTTCTTATCCGAAAACTATTGTTCTTCGGGGGTATTTGGCGTCTAGAGACATCTCAGTCCTTATCCGAGAACCCTTAAGGGGATACTTAACCAATGGGTATGCTTAACCAATGGGTATGCACTGTTCAAATATGCATTTTTTTTATCAAACAATTCGAATTCCAGTGGAACAAACGTTACCTTACCAAAAGCTGATGGGAAAGAGTGTATGAGAAATTCACAGAACTTGATTCTGATGACATTCCCATTTTTTATGTGCAATTTTTGTAGGCCTCCTTCTAAAATAGGTTGAATTATCTTAAGAAATAGCGACTTTTTTTTATAAAATCCAATCTAATGTTATTATTGAAAATATACAATCTTATAATTTCTTAGTAAATCAAATCATTTTCACAAGTATAGCAACTAATTCAAACTGTAATAATTTTCCAAATATAAATATATGGGATAAATACATAAAGATAAAAAATTGCATTAAATTAAACTTTAAGATTTTTTTTCGTGTTTGGAAATTGAATCCCGTTGTTGAATCATTTTAGTTAGTTACTTAAGTTTAAAATAAATACAATTAAAAAAAACAACGTGAGGCTCAATTGGTTTCAAATTCAAATAAAAATCCCTATTAAAGAAAAAGACAATAAGAATCTGGCTATAAAATAGCTAAAATAGCTAATATGTAATTTGCCAATTCAGGTTGTTCGGCAAATCAGTTTTTTCTGGAGAAATTATAAAAACATATTTTTTTATATTAAGGAAATTATTAATTTATTTTTATCAGGTCTTATACGAATATTAGCTTTTTTAAAGCTATTTTCAGCCTTTATCTAGCTCCCTTTCTCATCACTGGTTCTGATCAGAAGCCATTGCCATAACAACCGTTTTTTCAGTCGTTTCTCCTTCGCTCAACTAGCCAGTTTGTTGTTGTTTCTCGCTAGCGCCGATACGGATAAACGTAGGTGTGCCCCTCTACTGCGCCTGTGTGCGTGTATGTGTCAGCGCTCTGTTGTTTATTCCGATTTCTGTGATAAATGTGGCATTTAAGTTACTAAATTAAACTAAACATTATAAATAAAAAGAAAAATATGGTGCACAATTGAAAGAAATAAGCCAACGGTTTTTGTTTATATTTGGTACAGTGCGCGTTGCAAGTTGCAACCAGTTTGTTTAAGAGTGTGTGTGTATGAGAGAGAAAAACAGAGAGAGTGAGAGAGCCGCCCAGAAGAGAGTGTTGGGTTTCAATATAAGAAAATTAATCCAAAATATTCCTTATTCATCAGAAAAAATAAAAAATAAATAAATAAATAAATATCATAGCGATCTAGTTTTAATATTTTTAAAAATTAATTTTCCATTTAAAAAATACCAGCAATAATACTTACATATTTATAAACAAATTAATAAATATAAATTCCCTTTTAAAAGTAATAAATTACATATTTATATTATTTAAAACATTTTTTAATGTATTAATTTATATATTTTGTAGATTTACATATACGTTTTAAATCCAACTTTCGTATTTAAATTATAACTATTCACTTATTATCTTTAATTTTATGATTTGTTAACCCTTTTTTAAGCCAAAAAAATTTGAATAAGTCACTTAAGGGTCTTATTTTCTTGAATAAAAACAACCCTGACCAATCCCAAGAGCCCTCTTGAGTAATTGTGATAAACAAATTAGGTGCAATTACAATTATGCGGAATTACTGAGCTCGAAAATGCCCAATTAATTGAGTCTAAACCAATTTGAATCCCAAGATGGAATTAATAAGCCCACAGTCTCCCACTTCAATTATTCGGTTGTCTAAAAATTTCAAAAATAAAAAGTGGTCTTATTTTTGAAATTTTTAGACAACCGAATAATTGAAGTGGGAGACTGTGGGCTTATTAATTCCATCTTGGGATTCAAGTTTTTTTAAGAGAATAAAAAAATATTAAAAATCTACAATTACTATAAAATTATTGCCCTATAATTTGAGTATTATATATTTCTTTTATACTTCATATAGCTAAATAGATTAAAAACAAATATTTAAAATGAATTAACAAAATTAAATTAATTTAAATATATTTGTAAGCTCTTTTTGCATACCTTTTCCTTCGTTTTAAAATCTTTGGTTTTAGACAAAAACCAAAGTAATTAAAGGTTTTTTTTGCCGGGCAGAGTATTCTATGCTCCTCCTTATTCTAAAGACTCCCATTTCCCGCAACTCTATTTCAGGCCCCACCACCCACACACCCACCGAGCAGCCAAGATGTCTTACTCCGCGGAGCGAGCTCTATCCTTTCTGTACCCCACAGCGATCGTCGCTTCGGTGGTCTGTTGCATCACCTCGGCGGTGGCCTGGACTCACTGGCGCTACGTCCTGAATGCCTGTCCGGACACCAACTGCGGCTGCGTCCTTCACAGCCGGAGCACGTACAACAGCTTCGAGGGCGGCAATATTGCCTACTGCCACTACGCCACCTATGGGCTGATACTGCCGCTGATCTTTGCCGTGGTGCTGGGTATCTATCATGGATATCGGATGTGCATCGGGCGGGGCAAGCCCAAGACTGGCACGGCCACCATCAGTCAGCGGTGAGTGGTCACAGGGGGAGGTGTATGGTATCCGAGATCCGGACATTCTAATTCCAATTCCGACGCGACTGTCTCTGGGGGTCAAGTGGGTTAATCGATTGGTTAACCGGGACACACATTCACTCTCAAGATGAGACGTCTAATTAGGCCTTATGCTAATAGGGACCACGCTGCGTATGAGTAATAACATTGCCAAATAAGACAATTCAGAGTAGTTGAGATCGGTAAAATAATTGATACATTTGTAGGGTTCTTCTTTAGCTTAACTTTAAGTTTTAATATTAATTTACTTTAAATATTTAAATTTTAATTTTTTTCAACAGATCCGGTGAAATAATTGTGGTAAATACCGAGTCGGAACTCTCACCCCATGGGCTCTCTCCATATTATTGTGAGTATTCTTTGCCACAAGTTACCAATATATTCAATAACATTTATTATTTTGGCTTTGATAGGGCTCCCGGCCACCGTCATCTCTGTGATCATGGCCATCTATCAGCTGATCTACTCTGCCATATTCACCGATGGATTTGAGGTGACCTGCAAGCAGTACAGGGAGTCGCTTTTGAAGGAAATCCAGGGCGTGGGCAATATAGTGCCCGTGATCAAGTCCCGATTGTCGTGTGCCGCCGTTTTCGACTTTATGGACTACTTGGTGGAGAGCATCTCGTATGAGAGGAGGCGCTATGGACGCATTAATACCGCCGCCTGCTTGTATTTCACCCTGGTCTTCGCCTGGTTGGCCCTATTCGCCTGGCTGGCCATCTGTGTGATCAACATTGTGAATCTGCGCCGAACAAAAGCCGCCAGAATCTGAGCAAGGTCCTCAGCAGCAGGGAAATAATGCCAGCCTAATATATTGGAATGGATGAAGCATAAACTAAGACATTCCCCACGCACATTCGCCTTATATATTTTATCGTAGCCTTACGAAGCGCCACTTATTTATTAGTAGAAACCCACACATCAATTACGTCCACGGTTCGAACCGCCATCAAAACGCATTGTACAAATAAATGTCTGAGCAACAACGAACGATTAATTAAATCACGACATAAGTTTTACAAAATTGTAATTGGTTTTTTAATGTTTTCGTTGGCTAATTTGTAGCATACTTTCTAGCTGCTATTAATTTGGTTTCAAAGCCTCAATTGGTCTATGAAATCTCTACTTAACTTCATCTAATTTGCAATTAAAAAATTGTTTTTTTACAAATTTAATAAATTAAAAATTTTCTAAATTTAAAATAAAATCTTTAAAATATTCCCCTTAAAAAAATCTAAAAATACCGATTTTTTAATATTGTTTGTTTGTTTGTACGGTTCTTTTTTTAACACACTTTTACTTTAGTCGCTTAAATTTAATATTTAAATTTTAAAATCAATTTCGATATACCTATCTTAAAATCGATTAGCCGATAGCTTACACTTAAAATGGACTAGTCGATAACAGCACTTACCCCAAATCTGGGGAGAAAACCGCTAAAACGGCAACACTGAACAACACTTAATGCTGACGTGCCGCATCCCGAATTTGTTTACGTGAAAAAATAGCTTAAATTAACGAATAAACTCATCTACAAAATGTTGGACATACAGACGCACATGGTGAGAGCTTGAAGAACATAAATTAACCCACAAATAATCTCTAATAAACCTCTAAAACGCAGGACTTTGTGGGCCAGGGAAAGGCAGAGCGCTGGTCCCGGCTCATCATCACAGTTTTCGGCGTTATCGGCCTGATCTACGGAGCAATTGTCCAGCAATTTTCGCAAACTGTGTACATCCTGGGAGCGGGCTTCCTGCTCTCCTCTTTGGTGAGTATCCTCAGGGCAAGTTCCAGCTGGAATCCTTTTAAACTTATGCCCGAAAACCCTATTTCTTAGATCACCATTCCGCCGTGGCCCTTGTTCCGTCGCAACCCTCTCAAGTGGCAGAAACCCATCCAAACCGATGGCTCCTCCGCCAAGTCCTCCCCCAGCTCCGAGTCCGGTGACGAGGGCAAGAAGAAGAAGAAGTAATGGTCCTAGTTAAGCGTAATTCGTGTATTTCTCACACTCTATCCAAGAATATAAACTATAGCTAAATGGGACGCCGATAGGCTATGAGTTCGTTGTGATCGTAGTACTTGTGGATAAGATCGTACATGTTGGCGAAGAAGAACAGCAGGTTGTCGTACTGCCCGTTGTACGGCGACTCTCGGTCCGTCGCCTTCTCCTCCGCAGCTGGCACCACCTTGAGCGGTTCGGCCAGCCGATGGAAGCTCTCGGTTATCTCCAGATTGTCCAGGCCACGGTAATGCGAGCTCAGGCCCCAGGCGTTGATGTGCACCTCGAGGAGGAACTGGTGGATGGCCTCAATGGTGGCCAGGTACCAGCGAGGACTGCCGCGTTGATGTCGCCAGAACTGCGACAGACGGTTCTGCAGAACCACCGTTCTCAGGCCTCGTACCCGCTCGTCAGCGTAAATGCCGCGGCTCTGGTTCCACGTGCTGTCGATGAAGACGGCTCGGCGGATGGGCAGGTTGTCCAGCTTCCAGCAGCGCAGCTCCTGCTCCGGCTTGTCGTCGTCCTCATGGATCTCCACCTCGTCCATGCGGCGGCGCAGCATGGTTCCCATGTGATGGCCTTTGGGCAGGCCATAGTTCTCGCCTATCTGCAGCTGAACGTTGCGCTCGAAGAGCTGTGGCACTGTCGCCGCCTTGGCGCTGGGAAAGATCAGCACCACCCCGTCCTCCTTTCGATAGTCCGGAATGTCCGGAAAAGTGTGGATTCGCACATGTTCCGGCGCCAGGACAGCCGCATGCACGGCCGTGCTCTTGCCGTCAATCTCCTTCTTATGCTTGATAATGTCCACCAGCAGTGGGAGCTTGATCTGCGGCAGCACATCCGTCTCCGCCAGTTCGCCGACGGGTATGTAGCAATTGTAGCAGAAGAATTTCCTCGAGCGATGGCACAGCCGGCAGTTGTGCCGTCCCTCGATGGTGTCCAGTATGGTGTGGTCGGAAATCCGCATGCCCACGAAGGGGTACTTGCGAACGCGCGGCAGCTGGGCATCCAGGGGATGCGACATCTCGTATCTCGTGTATGCAAGGAAATCCCAATCAGAAAACCGATTTCCGTGATTGTTTACAGTTATCGATAAATCGCAGGGCTGGCGACTACTCAAAAAACATATGTTCTGGAATATCCCCAATGGAGGTTTATGGTCTCCTGAGTCTCCTTCAAGAATGTTGGTTTGCTGTGTATATTTTAACTGTACACAAAATCATCCAATTGAAACAAAATGATTCCTGGCGGTTTTTATTTTTTAACGGTCAATCGATAACAATAGCCAATCAGCTGTTCACCTCTCTCCTAACTATCTCTCTCCTCTCTAAGTTCGCCGGCAAAGTTCAGATTGTTTCGTTCGCCGGGAAAAACAGTGAAAAGTAAGGAAAATTGTATGTTTTCCACGAAAAACGTTCGCGAAACGCGATGCGGGGTGTTCGGAAGTGCGTTCAGTGCGGTGTTTTAAACGGGAATCGGGCTCAGCTGTGTCGGAACGTCGCGTGTCCGCAGCGCAAGAATGTTCTTGACGCCGTGCAATTGGTGTCTTTGCGATCAGGATCTACGGTTTACTCCCTGCGATCCAAGGAGAAGGAGCAGCAGCCGAGAAACTTTGTGGTGATTCAAGAGGTCACCGTGTCCCTGCAGCCAGATGCGGCGGTGGTGTCCAGCAAAGCGGTGTGCTTTGTAGAGTCCTGCCACAAAGGTGGCGTCAAGGCCACCGCGGACTGCGTGCACGTCAAAACGTGCCGCGAAATGGGCCCTGAGTTTCCAAAGGCCCAGGCCTACAGCGTGTCGCGCGAGGTGCTGTGGAACCTGAACATCAGCCAGGAGCAGAAGCAGCAGCTCTGGCAGCAGTACAAGTACGCCGAGGAGCAGGAGCACCTGCCGGCTGTCCAGCGGCTGAATGCCACCACATTTGTGGTGAAGTGCGAACGCTCCGAGTCCTGCCCAGCAGCTCGACTACATGTCACCGTCCTGGCCAATGGCTCCAAGAGGAAGGGGGCGGCCAGTTATGCCTGCGCCTGCCGGAAACTAAAGATTATCGTGGAGCCGGACAACTCGCTGGTGATGCAGGACGAGATCTGTGACCACCTGCTGCTCGTCCTGGCCGGCATCCTGAGCTCGCCGCAGGGCAAACGGGTGTACGGGCACTTTACCAGCGGCCTGCAGTCCTTCTGGATGCCATCCCAGCTGGAGACACCTCTTGGAGATGGCGCTGCCGAGGATCTGCGCTTGAGTCTGCACATGGAGGACGATGACTTTGATCCTCAGGTGGACATTCTGGTCTTTGGCGATCAGCTGGATGTGAGTATTTTAGGCAAACATGCAAATGGGATTGGAATCATGGATCATTATTTACTCCCTTTAGCTTCCCCTGCCAGATCTTTCCGATGGCGCTTTCAATCTGGACAACATGCAGGCGGCGACCACGAAAAGCCACAGCGATTCAAACCAAGCCAGCAGTGCCCTCATCCACTACGCCAACGACTCGCAGCTGCTGTCCAACTGCGATGTCTATGCAGAGCCCATCGAGCTCACGGACTGCAATATCGAGCTGATGGACCAGTTCCAGCCAACGGATCAGATTGACTTAAGCAGCGAGGACATTGAGCTGCCGCTGATCAGTGAGCCCTACAACATCTTGGCCGCTCCTCCCATCTTTTCGGAGGCCTCGCCTGCTGATCAGCTGCCCATTGAGTTGGCAACTATTTCCATGGTTAAGAAGGCGGCTCCCGTTAAGACCTCGGCGATAGTGAGAGAAGTAAAGTCCAGAAAACAACCTCCCTTGCCGGCCAAAAGAGCCTTAATTGTGAATAAGCCAGCTGCTGCAAATCAGGTATTGGATACTCCCTGCCAGGAGGCTTGCGTTCAGCCGGCACTGGCGTACTCCGCGTGGCTGGAACATGTAGTAGAGCTGCTAAACGAGGCACTTGAGCCCCGGGAAACACCTCAGGCGGGGATCTCAAAACGCTTGGTCCAGCAAAACTTTCATGTGCACAGGGTGAGATGATATTTACAGAATAATATTAATATTCAACAAAAACTAAAAGTTTACTTTATTGTAGGACACCTTTTCGCACTTTTGCAAAGGCTTCAGTGCGGGAATCAAGCGTCGTCCCTTGGACAAGGTGACTGTGATAGAATCGGGCCGTTATAAGGGTCTGACCAAATACACCTGGCACTTTACGACCTCGCACACGGTCAAGCGCATCTTTAGCACTGCTAATATTGAACTGCAGTTGCAGCGTGCCTTTGAGCGTCATCCGGATGGCCAATATTTTGTGCCCTATGTGCGACCACCAACATCCATTGAGGATTCATCCAAAAAGCGCCTAACTTACGCCAGAATAAAACTGTACATGGCCAAAATTATATTCCAAATGGCGCCAAAGGAACAGGCCGGCAATGGAGTGCTGCTCACCTGGACGCCGGATGTTCTGCCCCGCAGCCATTTCGGGCTGATGCAGGTGGAGTTCAGTGTGGAGACACAAGCGCCCAGCTAAGAGGTAAGAGTGGTTTTTGCAATTTGATGTGTTCTTTATTTCGACGCTTCTTTATCCTTGTCTATCTTTAGCTTCATAATTTCCATTTTCTCATTGGCTTACTCTTAGCTTAGGTGTACCATACATATACATATATTTAAATATATATATATACCATTATTTTGTTTTTTTGTTTTTATAAGCTGGGGGAGAGTCCCTAACCCTACCATCTGTGTGTCATTAAAATCTATGGTCTGTCTGCCTCTGTTGTAATATTCATCTTGATCTAGGTTTATGCTTAGCTCTAAAATCGTGGGCATGCTTTTGCTTACTACATTTCAGCTCTCTCTCTCTTATCGAATCTCTTTCTCATTGTTTTTTGTTCGTTTTTAAATGGTTTATACTCTTAACTTTGACATTCATCACATTTATAAATTGCATATAACACCATCAATTAGATAATCTGTTCGTTTTTTACTTTAGTTAAATGTGTGAAGGTAGTTTAGTCGTGGAAAGGTTTCCTCGATTGCTCGAAAAGTGTCTGGTGTGTGCTGGTTTTTTTAATTTGTTGAACTCCTGATTACTCTTAATTTTCTGTTGATTAAGCTTCTTCATTTGGCTGCCACCCTTATGTACACAATGTGTATATAGAAATATCCATCTATAGTTTACTATTCATTTGCTTTCGTTTTGTTTTTGCAACAGTTAAAATGCACGGTTACTCCAATATTTGGTATCGAAATAATATGATTCTCTGGTTCGTTATATTACAGATGAAGCATCGGTTGTCAGTATGAGAATTTACAAGCCTGCTAGAGCGTATATATAAGTGTTACCTTAGTCTAAGTCGGGGTTTTTAGTGCCTAAGAAACATAAATCTCACAAAAAATTGGTCAGTAGTTGGTTGGTTAATATGTAGAGCCGCCTATTAGGGTTACAGCTGACAAATGATTGGATTGAAATGCTCGCTCGCTTTGATAAGATCAGGATCTCGAAGGGACAGAAACCCATCAACTGTGCATCCAGTAGTCTCTGACTACATTCGATTGGGATAAATCTAAGAGGAAACTGAAGGACCTTTGTTGACATTGCGTTAATTTACATAATCAGTATACCATGCTTATTCAAGTTAAAGTGTACAAAAAACCAGTCTTTAAAACATTTTTCTTTATCGTTTCTTTCATACTTTGCTTCATTATTTTTTATTTCTACATATAAAATGTAAAAATATTTACTAATTTACTTGCGCTCTACGCTGGTCCTGTGTGTGTGTCTTTAATGTGGTGCCCAAAAGTAGGCTAACAATAAATTATTCCGAATTTTGGGTCTAACATCATAGCATACTTTTAGGCACCCTTTCTAAAGAAATTTCAAAATCTTATCTTTACCACACACAGACACTTAGCCATGGCAATTCAGAGTGCAAAGCTTTTATGTTTTATATTTATCCCACATACGAGGCTAACTTTAAGAACTGTACAGATTACGATTACGCCCAGCGAATGTGATAGCACCCTGTGTGTGCATCGAATAAAGAGAAAAACAAAACAAAACTGGAGTCAAGTTATGCATTCGGGGGCTCTCTATTATTTCATCTCCCTCTTCTTCACATGTATTGTTAATTATATATATATATTTATAGTAATACTTTTTGCTTGCGTTTATTTTTAGTTGTACATTAACTTATCGCTGTAGGGTTTATTTTACAATATTCTTTCTTAGCTTTTGCAGGAAGAGGAGTATACTTAGGATCCAGTGCAGTTGCCTGGACCTATCATTTCTATTTACAAATTTATTTCCGTGATGTTTTCTCGTGCTCTTGGTGCTGATTTTACTTTGGGGATTTACAGTGATGTGTGTGTGCTTTTGCTAATTCGGTTTATTTGTGCTCTTTTTGTATTAAATTCGCCTTCCAATTTGTCAAAATGGAGCTTAACAGAAACAGAACTGGAAAGGTAACAGATACTAGGACGGACATTGAATCAATTCGAAATGCAAAGAGTTAACTCGATAAATTCAACTAATAATCATTACTTTAATAGGAGCTTGCTTTGTGGGTAGCTTAAGAAATCATGGCACAAGTGTGTTGTGCAGCTTTAACCTGCATTAACGAATCATTACGCGTATGTTATATATTTATATTTTATATAGACAAATGTCTGCTGTGTTTTCTTTTAAACCTACTCTCGTTCGATTTGTGCATTTTGCTACGTTGCCATTTGTTTCAATTTGTGATTAACTTTTGCTCTTTCCTTGCCTCAAAACTATTTTCGATTGACTTTTTCCCCCTCTGACTAAAATGGTTGTACAAAATAGTTATATTAAAAACCTAAATTTAAAGGTATATGGTATGTATAAAAATGACAGAAAAACGAAATAATTTAGACAGTACATATAGAGAACAACTGAGCGTAATAAATTAAAGTTAAAACATGAGCTTGCTACGCGGCGAATGAATAATAATTTATGTGTTGTTCTCCTCACTTAAACGACTTAAATGTTAATAAATACATCGCTATGTATACGTAATCGTATGGTTTTAAATGTAATTTTAAATTTAAATATTTATATTTAAACATTTATAAAATGATTTAAATTTTTCTCTCTGTAAATTTATCTTTAGTTTAGCCTACAATATCTAAGTTTTGAGCATCTGTCGCTGCTGCATTTGTGGTTGTGACATTATTAATATTGTTGTTGTCAATATTATTGTTGTTGACCATCGTTGCAGTTGTTGGTGACGACGCGGGTGTGGTTGTTGGTGCAATTTCCAAGGCGGTTGTTGGAGGAATTGTGGGATTCATCAGCATTTCACCAACAACGTTGTTGTGTTGATGATGCGTGTTGTATTGTTGTTGAAGTTGCGTTTGTTGTTGAATCCGGGCCAGCATTTGTTGTTGTTGATGTTGCATTTGTTGTTGTTCGAAATTGAGTTCGAGTTCCATGAGTTTAGCAGCATTGGCATTAGTAACAGTATGGAAATTGGCATTAGTATGGGTTAAACTGTTTGGGGAGGCGAGTGGTGAAGGTGTTGTCGTTGTTGTGATTGGAATTGTTGGTGTTGTTGTGGCCGTATTCGAAGCTGCAGTTGGAGTAGCGGGTGAGGGCAGTTCAATGATGGTCTGTGGGGATGGTGATGTTGGTGGTGGTGTGGATGAATTGGACAGCGGGACAACTGCGGGCGGTAACAATGACAGAATGGGCGATAGGCTTGGATTAGTATCGGGCGGTGTATCATGGAGTGTGGTCAGATTCAGCTGCTGCTGCTGCTGCTGCTGCATCCCTAGCTGCTGCTGCTGCAGTATGACATGCTGTGGAACATTACCATTGCTGCATATTTTGCTATAGAGATCCGGCGTGGCCGTTGTCACATCCTCGAATTCAGTCCGAAGCGCCGTGCGCTTCAGCAGGTTCAAATTGCCAGGCAAAAATGAAAGTATGTTGTAAATGACGCGTATATCCTCGCTGGAGGTCCACACCCCGGGCCGCTTGTTGTGGTACAGCTTGGCGTACTGGTAAACATTCGCCGTGCTACAGTACTCCATTTCGATGGCCAGCGATGAGATCGCACAGAAGGTGCACGCCTGGGCGCCACCGTATCTGAAAATAAAAAGAATTTAATTAGCAAAAAATTCCAAAAAAGTCAGAGGAAGGTGTAAACTATTAAACAGCTTCTATAGCTTGTTTCTTAGGTTTCTCCCTCACCTGTCTACAATGACGATTGGTCCATTTCGATAGTCATTGCAGCGCTCATGCACATCGACAATGAAATCGTAGATGCTGTTGGGATTCGACATCTCCGGCCAGCTGGGACAGTGCAGCATCTTGACCGTCAGCTCGTAGTCATCCTGTATCGACTGGATGACAAAGTCCCGGCTCACATAGTCGCTCTTGTTCGTCTTGTTCAGATACTTGACGCGATAGTGATCGCTCTCGATGGGCGTGGCCTCATCCGGCCAAAACTGGGCAAAGTTCTAATAAAAATCAAGAATATTTACTAAAGAATTCAAGAGAAAATTAGACTCTTCTACACTCACAATATCGTCAAGCGACGAGAGCAGCACGACAGTCTGTGCATTGTGGTCCCAGACCATCTGCCAGAAGTCCTTTATCGTGTGCGCCATCGGATGCTGGGTGACTATAAAGTCCCTCAATCTCCTGAAGCCATGCAGCCAGGAGGCGTTGATATAGTCACTGCCATCCTCGCCCGGCTTCGGAGTCAAATGCACTCGACTGCCCTCAATGGGGAAGATGGCGCCGCGATTCTTGATCGAGTTCACCTGCTTCATGGCCGATGCAATGTGTATGTCCTTTGGCTGGAATTGAATGATGTTCTTGTACTGCTGCTCCAAATACGGGGTACAGTTCTTCAGCTCCTCCACCTGCTCGGCCAGCAGATTCGTCTCCCGGGAGGCAATGGCCTCCACCAAAGCGTCGTGCAGGAATATGTACTGCTCCTCGGTCTGGACGAGGAAGTTCCTTTGTGCTCGAATGTGACGCAGGAAGCCAAAGACATTCACAATCGATTTCTGTTGGATTTGCTTGAGCATGGCGTCCAGGACAATGTAGGTTCCAGTGCGACCAACGCCAGCGCTAAATTTAGAATGAATTTGGAATTTAGATAAAGGAATCAAAGTATATTTGAAATATTAAATATTCACCTGCAGTGCACGACTATGGGCCCAGCCTCGGCGGGATTGGCAGCCGAGGATTTCTTGACAAAGTTCAGTACGGGCAGGGGATGATCTGGAGTGCCATGATCCGGCCAGTTGGTATAATGATATTGATAGACCAGCTTCTCGGTATTGCACTGCTTCTTCTTCTTGAGCTTTAGGGTTTACAATTTTACATTTTTAATTATTTTAATTTATTAAAATTAATCATTTAGAAATACACACCTTCAAGTGCTTGATCTGCAGAGTGCGAACCGTGTAGGTGGACATTACTTCCTCCTCGATGAGCTTGACCTGGATCACACCATAGGTCTCCACACCATCCTTGGGCCAGTACATGTCGCACTTGCGTCTGCCACGCTCCACCAGATTGGTGATCATCACAATAATGGCCACCCTTTGCTCCCAGATCATCCGCCAGAAGCAGTCGAAGGTGTCGGGCAAGGGGCCCTGGGTGCCAATGAAAGCATGACCTTTCTGGTAGCCGTCAATGAAGTTGGCATTGATGTAGTCCAGGTTCTTCTTTTGGCCAGGGGTGGGATGCAAATGGACGCGGCTGTGGTCATCTAGAGTAGGGAGAAATATAAGTAATCGAATTAATTCATTTAAAAATATTAAAAAAAAGCTCTACTCACAAGCTGTAATGTTCAGGTATCGATTCTTCCGCTTATTCTCCGGATGCTGCGAGTGCTCACATGGCAGATCATCGCTAATGCACTCATTCTGTATGGCCTCGTATTCCCTGCTGAATCCAATATCTCCATCGGCATGCAAAGAAGCCACATGCTTGGCGAATTCGTTGACGGGAACAGCGGCACGGATTTCATCGCCGATCTTGACGGGATTTTCCCAGTCCACCTGCGGGGCATTCGGATGATGCGGTGGATCGTCCAGGTAGTAGTAGGCCGCATGGAAGCACTTTCTGCTGAAAGGAGTTAAAAGAAAAAGCCCAGTGTTAATTACGTTTGTGGTTTTAATTTGATAGAAATTTCTCTAGTTTGATAGCTGCCTTTCCCAGGCTTTTTATGAAAAGGTTTTTGCTTTTCTTTATAAAAGAAAGAAAACTTTGTCTATGAGTTTCTTCTGTCCACTTTGAACACAATCCCCTTCGGCGTGACAGTGATAACTAGAGCAGAAGTCCCACTGACCCACCAGGTCCTGTTTTCCTTACAAAAGCTACTTTGGGAAAAGGTGTAAATGTGGAAATTCTATATCTAACAGAAGAAGAGAGAATAAATTTTCCTTTGCAAAAAGTTGTGCAACTGAGAGGAATTATGAAGCAGCTGCAATCAGTTCTTAACAAAATCAAAATGCATAAATAAGCAGGTGGCACAGAGAGCTACAGAAAGTATATATATTTTAAAAAATATATATAAAGATCTAAAGGAGGAAGTGGGCTTTGGAGGTGGGCATTCAGCTGCAGCCAGGCATAAGGAAGTAATTTTGCTGGACAGTTCCTGGGCCAAAGTCTGGGCAAATATTTGCACAAAGCTGCTTTAAATGAGTGACAATAATGACAAAGGTGGGTGGGTTGAAAACACCCCCTTTCCTAGCACAAATTGAGGTTAAGTTTTTGTAATTGGCTTAAGCGATTACAAGGAGCAAGCTCCAACTTTTGCGCCCAAGTTTTGCCTACAAGTGCACTCTCGAACAGCCCAGAACTTGGCAAGTTTGGAGCAAACTTTTAACACTCCTTCGATTGTTGCGTTTATTGCTGGATTTCTAAAAGGATTTCAAAGGGATGTTTAGGGGTGAAACTGGGGAAAACGAATGATTTAGTCTATATCTAAATATATTTATAAATGATAAGGAAATGTTTGTGATGTTCCTTAAAAAGGATCTGTTTAGGATCGTGTTTAAAGCCCTTATAAGACATAATTTGCTCCTCTAAGATAACCTTTTTTATCTTTTATAGTTTCCCAAAGCATACGATAAAGATAGACCTATCTTAATGAGATATCTCCTTATCCACAAGCACTTCCATTCTCCCTAAAACTTAACTTTCCAAGTATTGATAAGTTAATTTGTCAATGTTTGCTCTTTTTATGTTTAAATTGAAACTGATATCTTTCTGCCGTTGTAAGCAATTTCGCGGAATAATTCAAAGATGTTTCATTGTTTACTCAACGAAGTTTCACAAAAGCATAAACAAACGTAGCTCTGTGGCAATCGGAACTTTTATAATTGTTTCAATACATATTTCTTATCAAAACCGGGAGTCAGCAATGGACACTCTAGAGTGGAAAGAATAACAAATAAATAGAAAATGCGAATTTCTTTCCATGGCTGCGATGTATGCACATATATTTACATATGTTTTTCTTTGATTCCCATTCCTTCTCATATCGCTTCTGTTGTTGTTTACCAGCAACTTTTGCTTTTGCTTTCATAGCGGCTCTCTATTACGCACCAAAAAAATGTGTGTTTATTTATTTTTTGTCAACTTCCGCTTGAGGTGATTATTCATTTAGTGGTGTATTTTGTTTATGGTTTAATGGCCAATATTTATTTAATTTGAATAAAGTTATGGAAAGTCAGAGCATGACGGAAAAGTTTTTCAAGTTATTAATATGGCATTGCATACTTTTTGGTGGCTCAGTAAATGGGAATTGAAATCTCCCTATTAACTCAAAATTGGGTAATTGTAAATAAAGAAAAACAATTGTACTTGAAAATAAATAAAATAAACAAGATAATTGGAATTTAGGGTCCTTGAAATATTTTATTGCCCTCTTTTAGATTTATTTTTTTTGGGAGATTTTAAATAAAAGAGATTTTCATTCTCTTAAACAGATTAGATTAAGTTGCCACAAGTAAAGGTAATAAAACTCTAATCAGATAACACAAATTTAATTTTTAAAATAATAATAATACTAATTTCTCTATAAAAATATTTCCTTGCATACTTTTAGACACCTTGGTGAAAAGATTTTAATTTCGAGCGATTTCTTTTCCTCCTTTCTTCAAAGAATTCCATCAGACTCTAGGCTAAAATACAAACAAACTTATTTTTCCATAATTTTATTTACCTCTCACTGTATTTCTCACAGTGTATATATTATAATTATGACTTTTTTTGTTTGTGTTTGGCCAAACACGTGAGAATTACGAAAAGTGACCCACTTGATGATCATTTTCCCGGGGGTGCAGCTGCGAAAAACTTACGTAAACCAATTTCCACGTTGCGATTTACGGCGCAAAAACCTTGGTGTTGCAGTTGCCGCAGTTGTTGATGTTGCTGCTGGCAGCATGGGACTGCCGCTGCTGCTGCTTTTCCGCTTTTCCCTGCCACCTGACATAATGTCGTCGCTATGCTTAGAATTGCATTGCCTGTTTTTTTGTTTTGCGCTTACATATTTTTCGTTTACATATTTGCACAAATTACGTCATATTGGCGGTGCAGTGTCGCCAAAATATATATTATACAGTACGCAATAACTGCACAGACACACACACACACACACACAGCGAGCGAGGCTGTGACGTTATAAACAAACACGGCAAAAAATTATAATAAAAGCGCATAAAACAATAGGCCAGATGTTGGTATCTCCTCTCGCCGCTTATCTTTGTCTTAATTAAACGTATTTTCCCCGCGTGTGTTTTATTGATAAGATTTTTATTTATTGGTGTTTTTTTTTTTTGTGTTTTTGTTTTTGTTCGGTACAGAAAAATCTGTTATTTTTTTCGTGCTTAAAGACGCGCGTGCTTGGAACAACTGAACTCTTGTCAATTAGCGATCGGCGCATTGCCAGAGCTTTTTCTCTCGGTTTTCTCACTTGGCTGACTGATCTTTGGCCCCCACAGAGTCTGACAAGTTGAGAGAGATTAAAAAAACGGGGGGAAAATACAAAGAGCGAGCTTTGAGCTTTTTCAATCAGCTGTTTGATAACAACACTCACGTCGTGTGTACTTCAAACTGCAATAAAAAGCCTGTTTTTGCCTTGCAAACAGTGAAAATTGGTTAGAAACCTTGGCTAATTTTTATATTAAATAAATAAATAAATTAAATAATTAGCCGCCCTTCATAAATATTTAGAAAAATTATTATTTACCATAGTTTTCAATATGATATTGAATATTCGTCTAGATATACATTTCTAATCTCAATTAGTTATTTATATTTTTATAAGAATTTTACTTATATTTTTAATCTTTAATGACCCACAATATTTAAAGGCTAATAAAGTGCTTAATAATAAAAATAAATATAGTGCCTTTTCAATATTAAATTTTTTAATTTTTATGTAATTTACTAGCAACTTCCTTTTTAACTTGGTTCCTTTTAAGCGAATAACCACTGTGATTATTCCAGGTAAAATACTATATAATCCTGATGTCAGCTATTATCCAAACACGACTTTGATTTAACCTTAGTTTTGTATAATATACACACACTTTTGAGAATGCATTTGGTGAGGGAGAGATCTCCTAATGAACTTTACAAAACTGTTGCTCATCAATTAATCAATTAAGAAACCCAGCCTTATATAGAGATATAGAATCGATATATATATATTTGTTAATCGTTTAATTGCGGCAGACAAGCACTTCCGCAATAAAAGTTGCATTGCCCAACTGAAGAAATTTACCCTTCGGAACTCGAGATAACGCTCGGTATTTGTATCATTGGATACAGTTGATAAACTCAAATGAAACTTTTTCGGCAAAAGTTATCAATACCCACACACAGACTTATAATTTCTTGCCTGGCTTTTCTATTTCTGGCCAAAGGGAAAAGTTTCACAGGAAAAACCAGACATACACATGAACTGGCAAAATAAAGCCGTCGTCGTCGTCGTTGTCGTCGACACAAAAACAATGTTTTCAAACTGCATCAGATATGAAAAACTAACAACAACACATGGCCACTAACACACAGAGAATCCCAGAGAGAAACGGGGGAAAAAGTTGTCGTCTTTTTTGCTATTTCGGTGTCGGAATGCAAATGGAAAATATTATAGAAGACGCAACAAATAGACAACTGGTGACGTTTAAATACTCTGCTGGGCATATGTTGAGTTGATGTAAAAAATATATATTTTTGAAAAAATCTTAAGCTAACTTCTTCATAATTTAAGGACTTTTTAAAAAGCTTCATATATTTTCCTAAAAGTATTATAACACATATTTATCTGTGCATTATCACAAAGCTTTTTCCCATTCTAAAAAAAATTACAACAAACTAGATAATTAATCCTTCCTACCATCATTATTACTCTTTTTCCTGGAGAGAATAAAAACGCTGAAAGTGTAACCACGAAAGATGGCTATCATTGCAGAGCAAATTGTTGCCATAACGAACTGCTAAAGTATTTCCACTTCGCGTCGTGCAAGCTGGCTTTGGTTGAGTTTTTCCAGAGTGTGTGGCCCCGCAGGACTTAGTCAGCATTTATTGAAATAATTTGCACGCCCAAAGAGAGCGAGAGAGGTCCTAGTGCTGCTGCTGCTCCTCCCCAGAAGTTTCTGGCCCCATTCAGGCCTCCAGTGGCTGCCACTAAACGTTGATTAGTGCACTGTGAATGCAAATGTAAATGATGATTTCGCCCAAGAGCCGCCGCGAATTGAGTTTTGCAAGATTTTTTATTTTCCCGCACAACCCTTTTTTCCTTCTTGCATTTCCCTGGGTCTTCGGCTGACTTTTGTTCTGTGTTTTCCACCCACTTCTAACTCTTCACTTTTTCCTTTTTTTCAATTTGTTTGCATTGAAAAGGAAATTGTAGAAAATTCGCCTTTGTTTGCTTAATAAAATATATAATTTTTTCCGCTCTAAAACTTGGGTAACTTGAAGAATGGGATGGTAACACCGCAGCCGCGGGTATTTGTAAAAAATAAATAAAAATGGCATTAATTTGTTAGGCAACCCGAGCAGGGGTAGAAAAAAAGGGGTAACTTTCATTTGGCGTATTCGCGGCAGCATAAAAAATCGCTTCGACAGAAGAAAATATGCAAAAATTCTTTTCCATTGAAGTCGTTTGTGGGTGGATGGGCTACAAAAAAAAAAAACGCTTTTCATTTGCCTTACACACACATTTTTTGTCGTCGGGAAAATGCTGGGGAAAATGCTTCTCCGGCTTCGGCTTGGGCTCTGGGCAAATGGGTTAACCACTTTTACATTTAATAAAGATTTTAAGTAACTTAAAATTGTTTTGCTTGTCTTTGTCTTTGGCTTCGCTCCGGACTCTTGGTTCCTTTTCTTTTTTCTTGCGATTTGAATTTAATTAACATTTCCCAGAGAATATGAGTATCTGTTTTCTCGCACTTTCAGGGCAGGAGTGGGTAGTGAAAATGGTCGAGTTATTTCCTTAATTATGGATTGGTTTGAATGGGACACAGCGAAAGGATTAATTATTTTAGCAATGGAATTCCGTTTGCTGTGTTTTTATTTGCTATTTTTTTTATTCGCTTCCCACTGATGTTTGTGTTAATTAATATTAGCACAGAAATCACTGGGAGATGGGAGGAGAGCATGACGATTGCTAATTGGTTAAGTATTTCTTGTAATGATGTTATATTCGCTTCACAGATAATTTAAATGGGAATATTCTGGGATTTCTGGGTGTTTAAATAGAGGGAAAATATATTTTAATAATAATAATACAAGTTTTAATGGGGAATTTAAAACGTATATTTAATGACTCTCTTCATGAAGGCTCGATAATCTATCGATAAATCGATCAATAAATAAACGTTTTAAAGCTTCCAGTAAAGTCACACATCCCTTTTCAGTTTCTGGTTCGCTTGAAAAATTCTACATATTTCACCGATTTAAGTTTATAATTTAAAAATAGCCACTTTCTATAGCTGCAGCTATGCGACTCGTGTGTATTTATTTTTAAATTCAATCGAAGAAGTGGGAGGACAGCGCTTTGCACTCAACACTTTGACAACACAACACTCACTCTTCTTCCCAGTTTTATTTATGGAACTGCACGCGACTGTCTGAGGAATAGCAGCTGCCTTAGCTGCACTTGTTTCCTGCTTTATTTATAGCTTATATATAGATATAGTGCTTTATCGGGGGGCGGCATAGAGCGCCACTTACCTCCACAGGAAGAAGGCCATGATGATCAGGATGATGCCGAAGCAGCTGAAGATAATGCCCACCAAAACGGCCAGGTTGTAGTCATTATGCGATTGTCGCAGCAGAGGTTGAAGTTTCTCGCAGTTCGGTTGCAGTTGTATCTAATTGAAGGGAAAATAAAGTAAAGGATTGAGTTTAAATTTCGGAAATTATTTTAAAAATTTCCTAAGGATAATACAAAGTATAAAGATTACAAATTAATAGAGAACTTGTCGAAATTTTAAATATCTAACAAATATATCGATATTATAAAACAATATCGATATTATTACTGATTCGATATATCGATATTTTCTAATATTTTCGATATTTTCTGATATTTAACTACAGATCAAATATTATTTCGATTTAGAGAGAGCAAAGTCTTTTTAAATATGACAAAACTATGATAAATACGACTTATTTTGCTCGGAAAAATATGCAGAACTTGTGACAAATTTCTGGAAATTCTCACTGAACCCTTGCATGCCAAGTGTGTGGTGGGAGTGTGTGTTTGTGTTTGCCTTTCTGTTATCATTATATTCGAGCATTATTTTTGTTGATTTTTGTCTCCCCTATTGTTTGTTTTTCGCGCACTTCTCTCCATATTTGCTTTTGTTTATTTCCGCTTTTTGCATACGATTCCTGTGATTCTGACACACAAAAAGGACGAAAAAAAACATGGAAGAAAGGATTTAAATGAGCGCCATTTTTCGCCAGGGACGGAACGCGATGTGCGCTAAGCGGAAAATGGCAGCGGGCCATGTAAATGCGGCCAAAAGGTGCAGGCCACTTGAAATTCAGGCGGACCAACAACAACAATTGCGATGAATTATGAATGAAGAGGGTTGAACGGGGGTGGAGAAGGGGGGCCACAAAAAATATTGCTGCATACTTATAAGGGCGTGTCGCTGCGGTTCCTTCATCCGCAATCCCCATCCCCACCCCTTTTCCTTCCCCAAACTCGAGTTGAGGTCAACTAAATTGCTATATTTTTGCCACAACTTTCGGATTATACATATTTTATGCATGCAACAAAGTTTGCGGTGTGTGTGTGTGTGTGGGTGAGTGTGCGTTTGTATGAAATGTCATTAAGGATGTCGTTATGACAGGCTGAAAGGAGTTGCTGTGCGGTCTTAAATGTCAATAAACGAACGCAGGTACATCAAAAGAAATTGGTTAATATTAATAGTATTATTTTGACTATTGGAATTTATCTTTAAATAAAAACTAAAAAATAGGAAATAGACTAAAAAACTAGTAAAACCTTAAATTTGATGTATTTTCTGCTGTATTTAACCGAATCTATTAAGTTTTCACAAGCTCAAAGCAAAACGGCACGGAATTTAGGTTTTGATTAATAAAAAAATATTTTTAATGCCTTAAAAAATCAATTAATTAATTAAAACTCATAAAAATATGATAAAAAATTCAAATAATAAATATAACAAAATGCCATAATAATTTTTCTCTCTGCTTAAGTACAATGACTGGGGCGTGGCCACTCATTGTTGTTGCCTGGACTTCCATTAAGTGCGCTTAAGCCCCTCATTACGCATACGCCCCGGGGTGCAACTAGTTCATGACTCAATAATGCATAAAACGAGATACGAAAGGGTGAGGGGGCATACACAAAAATAAAGATATTCTTTTTTGCAACCCCCCAGAAACAGGATAGAATTTTTCCAACTAAATAAATTTTGGTGTAAAGACCCAAGGCAGCTTTTCCTTTTCGGACATGTAATCTGATATGGGAACTGACAACGCCGAGGCTGCCAAGTTTATGGCATGCCACGCCTTTTCTTACTGCATATCTCCGCCTTGATTTTTTTTCCTATTTTTTGAGTTACAAAACAAAATGCCAAGTTTTCCGCCATGTGGCAGGTGTTGGTTTGAGGTTGGGGGTGTGAGTTGCATTTGATATCTTTATGCGCTACTTACAATCCTTGACTCCGAAAATTTTCCCAGCACTATTCTCTTTGGATTTATGACACTGAACGTTGCGGCTGCCACTTTGACTTCGTAGTAAGAGTTGGTGGTTAGATTTTGTAGGATCATCTGGAAGAAATCATAGAGAAATGTATTAAATACGATGTTTATTATGTTTTAAAATTAAATAAAAAAAAAAAGAAATAGTTAAAATGTGAGAACAAACTTGAAAATAAATTTTAAAACCAAACTTTAACAATTATTAATATTTTTAATTGTCTTAAAAGAGTTTGTATAATGTTAAATTAAGCTTTTAAAGAAATTAAATTATGTATTTTGTATGAAATTATTTAGCTTAAAACTTAACAAAATATTTAATTTCAATGTGAAACTACTCAATTATTTATTTCCCTCAACTCCATTAGGGACTTCGTTTTTTTTTGAGAACATTTTTCAGCTTTAAATTAAAATGAATTTTCCATTTGTGTTGGTTTCTATTTAACTTTTGGCCAAATCCTTTTCCCCCCCTTTTCTGCATTCATATGTGTAAAAACAAAAGGTAAAAATTATTGCCATTCCTGTTGTTTAGTTGTTCAACAAAAACCTTGTTTGCCGCTCACAAAATATTTCAATTACAAAAATATTTTCCAAACTGACCAACACAAAAGCAAACGTTGTCGAAGTTGAGGCGACACTGCAGAGGAGGATCCTGGCAACCAAAAAGAGAAAGCAACTATGTTTTTTTCCTTTCTCAGATATGGAAAAAGTCAGCTATGTGTATGATGACATTTTATTGTTGCGAAATTTGTTTGCCTGGCCGCATTCCCCACGACAAAACTTTCTGTATTTTTTCTATATTTTTGCTGTATTTTTTTTTATATATTTATTTACTCTTTTTCTGGGCGCTAAATAAAAAGGAAAGGCGAAAGCCAGTGCGGCACAAAGGCGGACAGGAAAAACAACATAAATTTAATTTATTTTCGCAGGTGGGTAAGCCCCATTCGTGCGGGTGCCCGACGTTCACCTCCTCCCACTCCCACTCTCCGCGGTGGTTGCAGCGGAAAAGTATGCAACACTTTTGGCCCTCGTGTGTGAATATCCTTATATTTTTTTTTGGGTATAGAAATTTTTTAGTAAAATATTTACAGCTGCCGCTGGGCTGTGGGGCTTTTTCTGTATGCCGTTTGTTGTTTGTTGCATAAAAATGCAATTATTACTGGCCCGGGTATTTTATTTATATATTTTTTGTTGTGCTCTCCTCTGCATATCTGTCTGTATTAGGCAGTTTATCATAGAAGTTTTCGTTTTTTTAAAGGGATATATGTATATAAGTTGGCCTGGCCAAATGGCCGCGATAAGCCGACTCGATTGACATATCAGAGAGGGAGGACAACTCTATGTTGCCAACTTGGCAGGGCCATAAAAATGGTTGCTAACAACGCGGAAATATTTCTACATAAAAAAGTATATATATTTTGTCAGGCAAACCTGCACTTGAATTATAGCTGCCAGACTCCCAAAGGGTTTTAAGAAGTGGAAATAGGTGGGGATTTGAGTATATCCAAAAAAATAATCGATATAAATTTAGTTTATCGGCCGAAATATCGCGCTCAATTGGATATATCGATTAATATAGCCTTTTACTTCTAAAAATCTATATTACTAAATATAACTGAAGAATTGTATTCATTATATATGTTCAAATTTTCGATTAAAGTTAGAAAATTTATAAAAATCATGTGAACTATTATTTAACTCTGCTCTTCTCCTTATAGATTGTTGTTATTAAATTCTTAAAAAATAAATATATAACTAAAAGCTGTATAAGTTAATTTTTCGACTTACCGCCGTCTCCAGTTCCTTGGCCGAGGCATTTATCCTTATATCCCGATGCGTATCCTGGCCAGCCAGTCGTGTTTTAATCACATAAAAATCAATGGTGTTGTAGAATTCGTAGGGTCTTCGCCAGCGTATTGTGATGGACTCCTGCGAGTGACAGGTGAGATTCACAATGGCAGGGGCACTGGGTCCTCCGACATCCGTCCGCTGGGCAATTTGATCGGAGGGTTCACCCTCGTTTTTAGTGGTAAAAGCCTTGACAATTACACGGTAATCGGTATAGGGTCCTGGAATTAAATATAAATAAAAATATACATTTTTAAAATAGTTTAAAAATATTATATTGACTTTTAAAACTAAAATTTAATCAGGAAAAGGGAGTAAAACCATTATTAAACATTTACTTGTCTCTTTTTGAGGCCCAGCAATTGCTGTAAACCTTTAATTTGGCCTTGTTGCCACTTAAGAACCCATCCGGTGTGACAGTTGAGGCTTTTTATTGGTCGTAAATACTGCCAGCAGATGTCAGTTGCATTCTTATATACATATATTTCTGAATATCGGGCCATCTTTCGGTGGCCATTATGAGCAACGTCAGGACAATGCAGCCGCCTGGCGGTTGCTGTTCGGCTTTATAATTAAATTTTACTCAGCGAAAATGTAAGGGAAAACAATAACGCCGAAGCTGAATTGATTTTTCATGCCACGAAAAAAAAAAATTATAAAAAAAACAACGACAGAAAAAAAAAAACTTTGCCTCTAGCGAAGCTGTCAGCCTTAATTGTATTTAATTAACAAGAGGAACTGCTGACATCTACTTGGATTAAATTTGGATATAATTAAATGTTGCCATGGCGGTTGCCGGCGCGGCTCCTTTGGAATTTTCTGCAGGCGCCGAGAGAAGTGCACCTGAGTCGTGTAATTAAATTAAACAATGTGGGGGGCGCATGTGAGAGAATGCGGAATATGCGGCGCAGCATAACTTTGTTGCAAGTTAATTGCATAGCTGCTGCTCGCTTCCCGCCCTCACAGAAAACCGCCGAAAAACTCCTTCGAGTGTAATGCCACGAATTCCGCGAGATAGATGCTGTTTTGGCAGCCTAAAAAGCAGACACCGCCGCTTCCATCGCCTTAATCAGCGAAATTAGCGGCGGTGTACGATTATAAGCGTCAGAAACAACGAAAAGTGGCAACAGCCACTTGAAACTATTTAATTACAAAGCAGCTTGGCAAACAATTTGACGGGAGCCTCAATTAGAGGTAATAATAGCTCTCGGCCGGGGTTCAAGGGTTTTTCTATCCCCGCCGTGGGCGTCAAAGTCCGTCGTCCTTCGACTTTGGCTGACAGTTTGATGTTCAAGTTGACAGAGGACCAAATCGTGTGGAAAACGGAGGGAATCCTTTGATCGGAATGACCGTTTGAAATTTATTTGCCGTAGGTAAAAGGTTGAATTAATTAGGGCCAAGGGTTGGCAGGATACAGAACTCTTCAAGATCTTTTTTGTATTAAGTTTCCCAATAATTAAACATTTTCAAAATATTCAACTCACTTAAATTCTGCAGCTCAAAGTGTATTAGAGTCTCCGCCGAGTTCCTTGAGTTTTTCACAATTTCCACGCCAGTTTGATTGTCATGAATGTGAAACACATGATAGCCGGCAATGGCTCCGTTCTGATTCTTGGGCGGATGCCAGGACATGGTGATGCTGTTGGCCGACACATCCAAGACGGTGAGATTCTGGGGTTTGCTTGGCACTGCAAAAAGAAGAATAAATAAGATGGGGATGAGTACAAAAAGTCCAAAGTTAAATTTGTTCTTCTACTTAGAGGTCATGTTTCGTTGCATACTTTTCGGCTTAGAGCCCCCAAGGAGTTGAGTAAACAAGGAAGAAGGATTTATGTAGCTAGGGTTTTTGGAATATTAAATACTTATTAGATACTTTTAGGAATTTCTAGAATTTATTTATGCTGTAAAAACATTATTAAATATATTTTAGTATGACATTTTCAGAGGGTTTTCTTATTTAAATTTAAACTTTATTCTCTACGATTTGCGTAGAATTTTCTTAGTCAAATAATACCCAAGATATACCCTCTCTTTGAGTGATTTATTCTTCCCAAAGTTAATTCCCAACTCTTGAGTTCTCAAAGTCGAATGTATAACAATTTTTATGCCAAGCCCACACCCACACCACCGACCGCCAAGTAATCTGGAATTTGTAAATAAGAAATGTTTGCATACTTAGCGGCGTGTGCAAGCCGGATGACGCCAAATGACAATGCATAAATAATTTATTAAATAACAAAAAAAGGCACGGAAACAACAACACATAAAACAGGAAGGCAAGACGAAGAAGAAGCAATCGCAAGTAAAATAAATTGAAATGAATATTTTGTAGAAGCAGATAAAACAATTTATATTCAAATGGCATGTGTGTAGCGAGTGTGGAGCAAAAAAAAAAATTATATATTCAATTACCGAGAGGGAGAAATGGAAAAGAATTGGCGCAAGTAAAGCGCAACGTAATCGAAGCGCATAAAGAAACGGAAATGCGATTGCTAGCAATTTATTATGGCCTGCACTGTGGGGCAGCTCAAAATACACACACGGAGACACACACACCCTTACAGCTGCTATCCTCACTGATGGTGGCTTATAATCCAGCAAAACCAGCAGCAGCGGATGCAAAAGCCCTGGCAATAATTTCATTTGCAAGCCAAAGGACAACACACTCGACCATGTGTGACAGCCAAAGGGGTTGCCTGGTTGTGTGTGTGTGTGTGTGTGTGCAAGTGGCAAAAAGCACTAAATGGTAATTTATTTTACTAATACAACAAAAGCCCGCCCTGCCTCGACCCAGGCAAACGAGCAAAAAGCGTTCTGCAATCAAAAGAACAAATGAGTGACCCGAGGGCCGAGGCAACGGGCACTTGACCCCAACTCCCGAACCGAAGACTTTTGCCATGCAAATGCGATAAAGCTTAACAAAACACACATACTTGTATGCCTCAAGCACTGGAAAAAAATTATTAAATATTTTAGACACATTTTAAATTGATTTTAAAACCCCAAAAAAACTAAACAGAAGTTTTCTATAGGTTTTCCTGCAAATATAAAACCTTTTCCTCTTTATTTGCTATCAAATTGCTAATTAGATAAAAACAAGAAATACAATACATCATAGCATACTTTTAGGCCCAATTTTAATTGTTTTTAAAACCAGTCAACAGCTACAAAGAAGTCTTCTATATTTTCTCCGTTAATATAAAACCTTTTTCTCTATTTTTGCTATGAAAATTTTTAATAAAAAGTACAACAAATCCCAAATTTTCTCCAAGTGCAAACAAGTAAGAAAATAAAGGCAACCCACACATGAACACTTGGCTGAACAGAATAAACAGTCCGCTGTCAATGTATAGAAATTTATACAATTCAATAAATGGCATTTCTACTTTCTTTGCCTCTTCTGTTCTCTTTCACTGGCACTCCTTTCCCAGCTACTCCTACTTCGATTTCTTCTTGTACTTCATCCTTGGCCAGGACTCTGCTCTTTGCAATTGCAAACGGAAATGGAAATGGGAAATGGACAGGCAGCTGCTGCTGCTGCTGCATCTGCAAAAAAAAAAAGAGAGAAATAGGGAAAGGGAAAGGAAAAGCCAATTTATAGACTCGAACTCGAACTATGAAAGCAAACGACTCACTCGAGAGGACCAAGGGCGGCGGTGTGTAGTTGTATTAAAATCAATTAAGCAACAAAGTGCTCCGCACATACACACACCCAGCGATAAATGTCCTTTCAGGCGAATATAGAGAAAGGAGCGGGAGAAAAGTTAATAGGTTTGCCACTCGCAGAAGACAGCTGGCAATTCACCTGGGCAGGTGATGTGCGAGGAAAGCCCTCTACTAAGTGCCAATGATTGGTTTTTGTTTGGCAAATATTACATAAATAATTGAGACTGAAATGAGAGCCGATATCAATCAGCCGCAGAATGATTGACGAGGCGAAAATAAAACTATTTGAAAAGGTTAAACAAGAAAATGTTAGCTTGAAGAAAATTTTAATTACAATTTTTGGTTTTATATGGGTTTTTATTAGGGAAATGCTAGGTTAAGGAGTGGAAAGGATTTACAAAGTAAATCAATTATTCTCGTGACTTAAACTGTTTTTGACAATTTTCAATTAATGAAATAACAATTAAAATGTCAAAAGGAATCAATGAAAAATAGAAAATGTTAGATATTTATTCCCAATATTTATTATAAATTTTTTTTTAAATTGATTTATTTAAATATAAACTCCCAATTTGAGCTTTAAGTAAATCTAAATAATAAATCGAGTTACATTGAAATAAATAGATTTCAAGGAAGACTTTCAGTAAGCAGTGCCAGTTTTTTCTACCCCTTTCTTTTTCCGCCTCAACATTTGACAAGTCCTGGGCCAAATTAAAAGAAAACAATAGGTGGGTTTTTTATTTTTCACCCACTATTTGCTCAGGCTCAGGCGCCGGAAGTAACCAAGTGTGAAAAGCAAAGGAAAATCCGCAAAGCCTGGAAAAACTAAGAGGGGAGAACACTCAAAGCGCGCGCGTGATTATTTTCACAAAGGCAAAGGCAGGAAGTAGAAAAAAATATAGATGTAACTAGGAAATACATACTCCCCGTGGGGAGTCGAGGACGAAAATCTGGTGTAAAAAAAAAGAGTAGAGCCTTGGAAAAACCAATACCGACGACGACGTGCTTAAGTTGTTAAAAACTGCAAACAAAAGGCGGCAGCTTGAGGATCCTTCAAAGGGGCGGCAAGGTGTGTGTGTGTGTGTGTGTATGTGTGTGTGTGTGTGTGTGTGTAGAGCAAATAACATTAAGTTGTCTGAGCCTCGAAAAAAATATATATAAAAACAACAAACAGCTTGAAGGGTACACTCAAAAAATAGAAAAATATATAATTTATGTTAATTTTCTTTATTGGGAAATTAAATTAACTTTAAATTCATTTTTAACTATTTTTTTTATATTTTTTTAAGTTAAATTAACACCAAGTTTTTCTTTCTCTGTTAGTAAATAATGCAAAAATAAATAAATAAATAAACTAGAAGGGGCGTCTGTCAGCCATTGTTAGCCCTCTGCCTTATTTAGTTGTTGCTCTTCGTACTTTATTGTTGTTGCTTAACTTTACGAGCTGCTTTACGGATTTCGTCCAGACGTAAAAACTAAACAAAAGCTGGAAAAACACGGAAAGACAGAGACATGCACACAAACAAACAATTAGAGAATACACATACACACACACACAGACTCACAAAAAATAAGGTAGAACACCCAGGTGACTGCCTTTCAAAAGGCGTCAAAGGCTCCACAAAGGCACAAAAATTATGCGAAATAAAGACCGAAAAAAGGGAGGAGAAAACAGCAACGACAACAAGCTGTGAAAATAAAAAAAGCGCTGCAAAGTTTTGTCCCCCGAAAGCTTTGATGGCCAAGAGCAAACACTGAATGGACCAAAAGGCTCCGCCATCACTTAGCGGAAGTAACGCGGCAGCCATTTTGAATGCACACACACATGGGTATAAGAGCAGCCCAGTGTGTATGTAGTGTGTGTGAGCTAACCTTTTTGAACTTTGATCCCTGAGGGAGAAAAGTCTTTAAAAATCAGGTAGTTTTGGGGAATTTAAATTATTATTTTAAGGCATACTTTTTGGCATATTAAAAATTGTTTTGAGAAAGAGTATTTATGATAATTATCACATTTCCATTACAAAGACAGCTTTTAAATCTTTTCTTTTATTTCCTTAACAATTATTTTCTTCAATTAAACATCAAGTTGGTTGAACTCAACTTAAATTGCATACAATTTACGTTAATCGTTACAGACATTTTGATTAAAGCGATGTCATTGCCATAAATGGCATATCTTGGGACTAGAATGCCTTTTGGCTCTATTTAAACACAAAGCTTTACTGTCAAATGCACAAAACAAAGGGCAAAGCAGCTACAAAACTGACACACTTCAAGGGGGGGCCAACACACACTCACAATTTAGAACTGATTCTGACAAATATATGTATAAATATATATATATGTATATATTTCAAAGTGCTTTTGCCACTCGAGTTGTCAGTTGAAATCCACCGATGACCCTTTTGAATGGGATTTTTATACGGCAACTGTAATGTTCACTAATTTGCAAACGTTTGAAAACCTTTGACATGTGTCTATTTTCGGGTCAAAGCCAGAGTAATTATGTGTGTGTGTTTGTGTTGCCCCAAAGGGTTAATGCAGAGGGTTATATCATTCGAAGAAACACGAGTTGTTTAACTTTTAAGGAAATAAATCTTTAATTGAAAGATTATAAAATCAGCTATTGACCAAAAGTTCCTGAAGGAAAATACGTAATTAAGCAATGCCACCATATTTATCATAGCATACTTTTGAGCTGTTAAAAATTTGTTAGGAAGCACTTGGAGTTTTTAAATCTCTTTAGTAAATGTTGTAATTTAATAAAAGATTTTGCTTAACAGAAATATATTCATCGAATTCTCAAAATAAGAAGTTTGTTAACTCTTTAAAGTAAGCTAGCAAGAATTTGATTCGTTTCACTAATCATTGCATACTTTTAGGCTATATTTTTAAATTATTTAAGCTTTTTAAAAATAAAGCTAGATTTACTCAATAAAAGTGCTAAAATCTCGGATTTTTCCTTAACTTCCAACGGCTCTTTAAGCCCGCCTTTTGGTCTAAAGCCCTCACAAGGCACGGA